CCCCAAACCTTTGCTCTGCTGGCTTCTCCCAAGTGCAGGAGCTGAGAGAGCCCTGAGCCGACCTCTGTCCTCTGCCCGCCAAAGGTCTCTTGCTCTTGTCACCTTATTCTGCTAACATTTTCTGCATTTTCTCCCTTGTCTGTCACCCCCTACTGGAATCGGTGCTTTTAGTGTTAGGACAAGTCTATCTTGGTGGGGGCTTAGTAGATACTTGCTGGGACGTTAGACTCAAGAACTGGGTGGGTTTTCTTCGCATTTCTAACACTCGTTATGTGGCTGGGTGTCCGCCTCTCTGAGCCTTGTTTCCACATCTTTAAAGTGGGAAACGAAATCCCTAAAATGCCTGGGAGAACCAGATCAGAAAGCAGGGAGGATGAAGTATCCAGCTAGTTCTAGGACGTTTCTGATGGATAATACTTCAGACACAGTTTGTGAGCATGTCAACTTGCAGAAGAGGAAACTGAGGCACAAGGAAGCCATGCAGAAAGGCTGCCCAAGGAGAAGAGTTGAGCTCTCCCTGCTCCCCACCCCCAGCCCCTAAGGCCCTGGTTTCTCCTTCCAGGACCTCTGGTTAGATCACTCTCATTCCATTTCCCTGGGAGTTTCAGTCCAGAGGTCCTGCAGCGTGCCAGCCTGTCGCTGCCTTGGGAGATGGCCTTGCCCCACTCAGCTTCCTGTATGGGATGGGGTCTGGTTCATGGGGGTAGGGAGGGTGCAGGAGACAGCAGAGCTGGCTGCCTCTGGTGCTGGGTGCTGGGGTCACAGAGCGTGTGTGCGTGTGTGTATGTTCATCACTCCAAAAATATTCACTGGATCCTCACTACACCCCAAGAGGGAGGCAGTCCAGCCTAGTAGGGAGATGCTGGAGTCAAACTGGACTCATATTAAATGACATAACACTCTTGGCCCTTCCAAAGTCCCAGTCTCCGACCTGAAAAAGAGAGCTGTGAGGACGGTGCGTATATAGCACTTAGCCCAGGGCCCAGCTCACCGTCAACACTCAATAAATAGCAAGTGGTTTTTTTTGTTGGTTTGTTTGCTTCTCAGATTGTCAGCCCTGTAAGGACACAAGGGACACTTGTTTTGGCCACTGCTTATCCACAGCCCTCACACTTGGTAGGTGCTCAGTTGGATGAAGGAATAAGTGGAAGAAAGGAGGAAGGAAGAAAAGGACGGAGGAAGAAAAGGAAAAGGAGAGGAAGGAGCTGCTCTGATTTGGTACCTCCCAGCTTCTGTGCCCACCGCATCCTCCCTCTCTCGCTCGGGGGCCACCTTCCAGGCTCCTCTCACTGTGTGCTGAATGGTGACCTGGAAGGAGAGCTGATCTGAGAATGGGACAGCTGAGTCTAAATCACCACTTGACTGAACTTAGCCTCCTCAACATTCTCCTCTATGAAAAGATGATGACTGTACCAACCACCTTCTGAATTCAGTAGGGAGGTCCAAGAGATGTGTATGAATACACTGAATATTTTTGTAAACTAAAGAGTATTAGGGATTATCTTGGTAGAATGATAGGCAGTGTAGGCTCTGGGACTAGATTTCCTACATTCAAATTCCTGCACCACTGTGTGCAGACCTTGGGCAAGATCCTTAACCTCTCTGGGCCTCGGAGTCCTTATCCATAAAACAAGAATAATAACAGCACTCGCCTCACAGAGTTGTGAGATTTAAGTGAGATAATGTATGAGAAGCTCTTGAATCAGTGGAGAGTGCACAGTAGGCCCTCAAAAAAATAGGGGCCACGATAACAAAGCCTGCCCTCAGGAAGGATTCTGTGAACTACTTCTCACTAAAGTGTGAATGGGTGATAAGACCTACTATGCCCCCTCTGCTCAGAGGAATTGGAATCTTAACAGGAATTAAAGGAGTGAAACCACCTCTAATGATGGAATTTTTTAAAGTAGAGGAAGTAAACAGAGGGTAGAGAAGGGCCTTTCTAGGGTCCCTCAAAATCACATATGCTGCCTGCTGCACAAATCCTGCCAGGTCCAAGAGGGGTACCCCACACAGGAGAAGGGAGAACACAGTCCCAGTCCCGGAGGAACCTCCTCTCTGCTTGGAGAAACAGGGAACAACTAGACCCTAGGACAGTGCATAACTATGGCTAAACATGGAGGGCCATCTGCAGCTTGGCAGGCAACAGCTGGGGTCCAGCTATGAGAACAGGAACTAAGGCCAGAGGTGGGGATGGGCACCAGATGTGATGAGGACTGACCTGTGACCAATGAGGAAGGGGTGGCTCCCTCCTGGAGTGGAGGCCCCATCCTCCACCTCTGTTTTCTCTACTAGGAACTTAGTACCAGGCTGGTACCCATAGCAGAGGGTGTAGAGGTGTTCAGGACAGGGGGTCTGGAGTCAGACTGCCAGGGCTCAATCCAGGCTCTACTTCTTTTCAGTTGTGTGACCTTGTGACCTCAGTGTGGAGGACACAGGAAGAGGGAGCTGCTGGCATCCATTCCCCATCTCTTCCCATCCCTCTTTGAAGAAACATTCCTCCCTCCTTCCTTTTCAGCCCATTGGAACAGGTGGGGCTACATGCATGGGGCCTGTGACCACACCCACCAGTCAGCACAGAACCTTCCTGGACAGTGCCTTTTATCAGTGGTCCCACAACTCCTAATTGTCTAATTAGAGTAAATCCTGGAACTTGGGTCACAATTACCAAGAAGAGACCCTCGTTTCTACTGAAATAGAATTGGGGGTGATATGAACCTGAGGCTGCAGATAACCCTTCACAGCAGAGTGGAAAGATTCAGTCTTTATGTTTTTGAGTTTCCAGGTCAACCCATGCCTGGATTGTTCAGTTTCCTGAGCCAGTAAATTCCTCTCTTAGCATAAACCAGTTTGAGTCAGGGTTTTTTGTCATTAACATCAGAAAGAGTCTGAAATTCACATGGTGAATTTTTTTAACCTCTCTATAAATTTCAGTTTCCTCATCTGCAAAAAGGGGATGACAATAATAGCATTTTTCAGGAGAAAGGAAGGGTTGTTCTGGGATAATTAAAAGAGTTGATGAGGGTCCAACACTTAACATAGAGCCTGACATGACCTATGTTAGGCATTCAAAAAACATCAACTTTTAGGTGCTCTGTGTTTGTTAACAATTCTGGCCCTAGGAGATGAACTACAAAGGCCTCTGGGAAAAAGCCTATTCCTGTAACTCTGAGGGGTCCCAGGAAACTCTGGGCATGAGGTGGGGGGGGCACTCCACTCTGCAGGGAGGACTGCTTTATCCATCCAGAGCACAGGTGGCACAAAGAAAGCTCAGGTGGGTGTCATGATTCTTTTTCCCAGTCTTCACAATCTAATCAAGCCCATTTTGCAGATGAAGAATGTGAGGCTCAGAGATTAGGTCCAATCTAATCTATATCCAGCCCCCAAACTGACGGCTCAGCCCCTCCCTTGGAGCACATCAGTGCTGTACCACCGTGCGGCAGCTCCTTGCCAGGTCTCAGTCCCAGTTACTAGGCTAAATAAAATGGGTCTGTTATTGTTAAACCAGGGCTTCCACTAGTAATGCTAGACAAGTTTGAAAGGGTAAAAAGGAGTTAGAAACACTCTTCCTCCTTCCCTCGGGTGGCTCTATCTTGGACCTGCTGTCTCCTGCACAGAGAACTTTCTTGGTTTCCCCTTTTCGTGTAGTTAAGGTGCTGTCACCAGTTAGCGGTGGTTTACCCCCCAGAGGGAGTCTGACGCAGTTTTGCTAAAGGAAACCACGCAAGCCTGACGGCTTGGCACGACCCTTCCTTCCGGGCAGGCCAGGATGCCTGGGGAGTGGGGGTGGGAACAGCACCTCCCACTTCCCTCCAGATAACCGCCAAGCCGGCCAGATCATTCTCACGTCTGGGAATTGAGCTCACGTTGGGCTTTTCCCATCTAGCCTCCTTAAGCCTCAGTTTCCTCATCTGTAAAATGGTACCCGCCTATTTCAGGGTGTTTTGAGGGCATTATGGGCGGTGGGGGGAACTCCTAGGCTGTTCAGCACAAGGATCAGCACAAAATCATGGGTGTTCAATCCCTCCTCCCAAACAGAGAGGAAGGCACCTGTGTGCTGGAGAGGGCAGAGTGAGGATTCGAACTGGGTCTTATGTGACTCCAAGCTCAAACGTCTACCTTCAGGAACTTCACCCTCTTTTGCTAGTGGGATCCTCCCCACCCACTTCCCTAATACTTTTCCTCCTCAGCCTCCTTCCCAGCCATGCAGTGTCTTCTCCTCTGCCTGGCAGCCCTCGGGCACCTCCCAACTACAGCCCCACAGAGCCAGACCTCCCCCACCTGAATTGCTGGAAAGAAAAACTGTTTTCTTCTGGGTCCTTTGAGTCCATTCACCCAGCTCTGCATTGATTCAGCCTCGCCCGAGGAAACGTCCTGTGTGATACTCCCCTACCTCCACCCCCACCCACCAGTAACTCTAGGACACAGCTCCACTGTAGCCAGTATGGCCACGAGAAGTGGGATCACATGCCCATGGGTCTCCCTGTGGGATGGGAAGCAAGATGCATCACTCCCTCTAAATCTCCTTACAGGGGTCTCTCCCTGTCTGCCTCGGGCTGGTGCCTTCTGATGGTGGAGGCGGGCCCTCGACCTCAATGGCCAATGAAGAAGCTCATAGGGGTGCTTTTGGTTGTCAAGGCAACAGGAAGCTGTATTTCATGTCCCCACCTCCATCCTTCCAAGGACCAGCCAGGTCACACTCTGCGGGCCCTAGTTCCACCTCAGGATAGAGTGGGAATCAAAGCTGGGGGACAACTAGGACCCAAAACCCTTCACAAATGCTAACAGCATAGATGAGCCAGTGTGCACAACATCGATAGAAGACTGCCTGAAGGAGGGGCACTACGAATAGGGTTCTGTTAAAAGGGACAGTGAAACCCAATTTACTGTATTGGAGTGGAGGTAGCACCACAGGGGCAGGGCACGTTGCAGGGCAAATTCAGGTGGGAATGAGTTGGGTAGGTGCTTAGCAAGTAGATTAGGGCTTCCAAGCCAAGACTCACCCAGGGCAGGGATGGGAGCCAAGATGAGCAGGTGCAGCTGAATTGTAGGTCTCACAGTGCTTCAGTTCTGCGCAGGAAGAGAGAACCAAGGGTCACCAAGGCCATTCCCTTGCCTCCAGGCAGCTTGCACTCTGTTGTAGGTATAGTCATGTCCGGTCTTGGGCATTCATTAACCTCATACTCTTCCCAGGAAAGAGGAAGGTGACCAAGTTCATTGTCCCCATTTCACAGATAAGAAAACTGATACCTGCCTGGTAAAGTACTCACCCTTGGGCCCTGGGGCCTGGCATTGGGCCCAAGCAGGACTCTCCAGGCCTTTAACTCCTTGGTGTGTGGCTGGTCCAAGGAAGCCCCATGCCACAGCTCTGACATTGTCCACCCTTACTGATGATACAGGGATGCTGGGGCCAACTGAACCCCAAGTTTAACGAGGCAGGTGAGCCAGAACAGGGAACCCTGCCCCTGCCTCTGGTGGCTATGGACCGGCAGCAGGTAGAGGCAGCAAGACTCCCTCCTTGGTCACTCTGAGAATGAGTCCAGTATTCCTCCATGGTCCTGGCCTCACAAGGCCCACAGTCTAATGGGGAGACAGACCTGCCATAACTGCTGAGTGTGATAATTGCTCAGGGACAACATGGACAAAGCACAGTGGCATCACAAGAGAAAGGATGCCTGAGTTTGCCCAGGGAAGCTGGAGAGACCTCACAGAGGAGGCAGCCTTTCAGAGGCCACAAGACACATAGGCCTTTGCCTGGCAGACAAGCAAGAGGAGGGTGCAAAGGGAATAATGTCTGCAAAGACCTGGTGCCCTGGGGAAACCGCAAGTCAGGAGCAGGACTGTGGTGGAACCTGGGCTGTGGAGCGAATGCCCAGGACAGGACTGCGTGCCCCACAGTTGGGTGCTTTCTTTCCCCTTCTGAACCAGCCAGTACCCACATTTGCTTTTCTCCAAATGATGGATTCACAGAACCCTCAGAACCACTTCTGAGGATCCCACTTTGAGAAGGGCTGGGTTAGAAACTAACCACGGTCAACTATGGCTACATGCCAACCACACGGATGGATAACATGGGTGTTGTGTTGAGAGAAAGAGGCCAGGCACCAAAGAGTCATTCTATAAGACCCAGTTATATCAAGTTCAAAGATACTGATAGGATACCTCTAGGGGTGTGGAAGGTCTTAATCCTCTGGGGGACAGTAATAATATCATGTTTCTTGATCTGAGTATTGGTTTCACAAATGTGTTCTCTTTGTAAAAATTCATCCAGCTCTATACTTAAGCTTTGTGCATTTTGATGTAGCTTCTACTTAAATTAAAAAAAAAAAGTTAACTGCGTTCCGTACACATCACTGTAAATGTAGACACTAAAATTTTGCGATCACATAATCGGCTGTAAGCCAAACATCCAGATGACGCAGAATATGTTTATATTGATTTTTTAGATTATTCCAAAATGAAAACACAAATATTTTAAAGTCTCATGGAGACTTCTCAGACTCCAGAAAGCCTGGCTACAGACTCCAGGATTTGAGAGGAGGGGAGGCATTACAATGCTCAGTCCTGGGCCTGGGGGATGGAGGGTAAACTGTACTGTACACCGGCCTGGAGCCTCTTCCCAGGGCGGGGACACAGGGAGACGATGTCCTCATTCAATAGATCGCCTGTTCCTGGGAGGCTGAGGACCCCCAGGCAGAGGGAACTAGTTCCCGCAAACCCCCTGAGACTCAGACCCAGCCCCATCGTAGCAGGGATGGCCACTAGAGGTGGGTCTCCCTGGCCGGGATGGGAGCTTCTGAAGGGCAGGGGCCTCTTTCACTCACTCTACGTCCCTGATGCCTAGAGAGGGGCCTAAACAACCCAGGTCTGGGTGGAACAGACTGTTCCAGAACACAGAGAGGGCTGCATCTGTGGACAGGCTGCTCAATAGCCTCTCAACAGGTGTCCTCTCCCGTCCTCGGGGACATCCCTTCTTAGCCCACCCCCGACTCAGCCGCTCTTGCCCGCTCTTAACAACCAGCCTCCTCTCCCCACTTTGCTGTCTTCTTTCAGCCAGCATTTCTCAAACCACCTGTATGATCTCTGCCCTAACCTTGTGCTACCTGGAGTCTTATTTACGCAATAGTTTTCTTTAAAACAGTAAGTTGTCATTCCTATTGTTGTGACTTGCCCTTGTTCTAAGCAATAATATTTGTGAAATCCTGGATTTGATGCGCTAGTTTTATTTTTTTTCTAACACACATTAAATTTTAATTTAAAATACTTGTTCTCATATCACCTAAAATTACCTTGTGGACCACCACAGGGGAAATGATTTTATACAATGGTTCAGCCAGGATGGACGGTTATTAGTTATGAATACTAATCATGGCCTCAGGTTAATAGCAAGCTGTATGCCTCTTCCATGCATTTGCATTCACATCTCATCCAGTCCTCTTAATTCCTGCACCGTGGACATCATTGGCCCCATTTTACAGATGAGGAAACTGAAGCTCTAAGACTAGTAGTGACTTGCTTAGGGTCACACAGACAGTTAGAACTTTTGGTCCTGATTCAAGGCTCTGATGGTTCACGACCAAGGAGAAGACAGGGGAGCAAGAGGCATCCTGTCTCCAACCAGACCCACAAGGGCCACGGGATGGAAACTCATGGCATAGACAGTTTGGATTAGACATGAGGAAGGACTTCCTGGTTAGAAATGTTTAGATGCAAGAATGACTGACCTAGGAAGTGCGTGGAATGCCCAAGTCCTCAAAACAAGATAAAGGCTTGCCCAGCTGAGATCATGCCAGTGCAGCCTGGAGGCAGGAGAACGGACTGAGTGACATCTCGGGCCTCATCCAACCCCAGAGACTGGGTTGCAGCCTGCCATCAGGGTGGCCATCCTTGCCGTTTCTCCAAAGCATCTATCATACAAGGAAAGGTATGTGGAGGCTCCAACTTAAAGGAACTGGGAACACCCTGTGTTGGCCCCCAGTCCTGGGAGGGAGTGTTGGCAACCGCAGGTCAAGGTGGCAGGGTGTTCGCTCACCCCCTTCCCTTTCCACCGCTCTGCCAGCTCCTGGAGCATGTCTCCAAGGCTGGGAGCCCAAGGTCTGGCTGCCCTCAGAATCGCTGGGCCTGCTTGGCAGCCTGGGCCAGGGAACATGCATTTCTTCACTGCTCTCCAGGGAATCCTTTTCAAAACTCCCTGATCTGAAACAAAACAAAAACCAAAAACAAAACCTCCCTGACCCCAAAAGTTAGACACATACTGACTTAAGGCGTTGCCTTTCCAGGGGACAAATTATATATATATATATATTTTTTGGAAAGTCAAAGTGTTTATCTCTCAAAACAAAAAGGGTATTATCTTCTCTTCTAATTAGACAAATAATATATGCCCAGTTGTTAAAAAAAAATCAAATATAGAAAAGTATAAAAGTGAAAGTAAAATTATCCAAATTTCTCTCATCTAGAAAATAGTGCTGTTAAACTTATGTTTACCAGGGGGTAAAGAGGGTGGGAAAGAATAAACTGGAAATCCTGGGGAGTGATGGAAATGTTAGCCATCTTGATTGTGGTGGTGGTTTCACTGTGTATACATCTATCAACATTCACCAAATTGTACATCTGAAATATGTGTAGTTTACCATAGGGGAATCATACCACAATAAAGGTTTGTTTGTTGTTAAACAAACAAACAAATAAATAAATAAAAAGAAAACAGTGCTGTTGACATTTTGGAGCACACCCTTCCACATTTTTTCCCCATGGTACAATACACATAACATAAAACTTATCATTTTAACCATTTTTAAATGCACACGGATCATAATTTTATGAGGCCTCCTGAAGACAGGGCTAATAGTGCAACTTCAGACTCCTCCACGGACAGCGGGGAAGGTGACTGGGGGCGAGGGCCCTTCCGACTTTGTTTAAATGGAAAGACAGAGGCAGCCAGCCAGTCACTGTGTGGGGTGGTAAGGTTGGTCTTGTTAAAATATAAAAGCCAAGAATAACTCCAGTGGGTGTACAGAGGAAAGTGGGTCTGTCCCCTGCCAGGGCCCCCTGAGGAGAACCAAGGGGCCTGCCTGGTTGTGCTGAACTTCTGCCAGAGGTCAGTCTAGACAAGGAGGGTGAATGTGTCTGTGATTATCTGGCAGGGGCCTCAGTCTCAGGTGTTCCTCTTTGGCCCGGGCCTTTGGGGTGAACAGGAGGCGCGAACTCTGGTGGACAAGGGGTGCTGGGACACAGCAGCGAGTCGGGCACACGATCACCGACCCTGGGGAGTAACAGGCCCTGCGCAGGAAGGCACCAGCCAGCAGAACAAGGAGCAGCGCCCACCCCCTCCCCCAGCACCGCCAGGCCAAGGAGGGCAGGGCACAGGGGGCGCCTCCAGCTCCCAAACAAGGATGTCAGAGGGTGGTTGGGAGGCTTTTAGTCAAGAAACCACAGACACTGATTTAGCAGATACCACGTGCTGGCTTCAGAAGATCCCTGAACTGGAGGAGCCAAACTAACCGGGCAGGGCCACCCCCTTGCTCCCACGTGCTACCTGTCCCCGCTCCAGATCAGGAGGGGTGGCTCTCTTGTTAGTCTCCCACCACATCTACTGTGTGCCCTCACTCAGCCTGAGCACACCCTCATTTGTGTTTTGCCCTCTGTACAGCCCAGCTGAACAGGAAGACCCCTGAGGGCAACTACTGAGTCTTCAGGGGTCCTCATAGCTCCCTGTTTCTGCCCAGTCCAGTGCCCCACACAGAGCAGACGTTCAGGCGACATGCACATGGGGAGGCCCTCGGGAGGAGCCCTGGCATTAGGCACAGCTGGGATTCTGAAGGAAGCAGCTCTAACGCCCTCCCAGGGTGGTTTGGAAGGCATCCAGGAGGAGGTGAGGGACACACAGGGTCTTGGAGGTAGCACACAGCTCAGCTAATGGAGAGGGAGCCGGCGGAGGGGGCACTCTGATGCGAGGACCTGCTGTGGGAGTGAGGGGTGGGGGCCGAGCCCCAGGAAGTCTCTCATGTGGTGACTCCCAGGCTGAGACGCCCTGGCTTGCAGGCTCACACCTGCGTCCGCCAGGAGGCGAGGGTGAGATGCGGGGGCTCCAATTACAGTCATGACTTGGATGGTCTCAGGGTTGCCACCTCTTCCAAGAAGCTGACTTTTGAGGAATCTGCCTGGCCACGGAAGTCATGCTATGTCTGCACTAGCCTCAGCTGTTGATTAAACCTCCGCCTGCGCCATGCACATCCCAGGAAGAACACTCTTCCTCCCAGCGTGTCCTCACTCCCGTCTCTCATGTTTATGGGCATCAGGTGGTTCAGAGAGGGATCCACACCCAGCGTGTACACCCAGTGAGGTGGGCCGAGAAAACAACACCCGCCACCTTGTGGCCCCGCATTTTGGGAGCTGCAGGCTTGGGCCATCATCACCCCTGGGCGCGCCACTCCCCCTCCCACCTTCATCAGCCCCCGACCCCAGTGCATCTCTTATGTCCCTGCTTCAGCCTTGCGCCTGCCCAAACTGTTGTTTATCAACACAGAACAGAACATTCCTCTGCCAGCAGAAACACACATGGCCACGGTGCTGCCATCCCACGCCCTGCCGTCAACAAACTCCCACGCACTGTTTGCCGCTGTCAAAGCTGTGCTCACACACATCCTCACTGCCAACACAGCTGTTCCCCACTGCTTGGAATCAGGCCCTCCACCCCGCACACGCGTTCCCTGTGGGTTTTTCTCACGTGGACTCATAGCCGGGGCTCACATTCATGGACCAGGCCGGCCAACAACACACTCTGCCCTCTGACCTGGGCTGTCAATTCCCTTGCTACTGTGTGACCCTGGGTAATGATTTAACCTCTCTGAGCATCAGACACCTCATGTGTAGACTGGGGATAATAATTACCTTATAGGGCTTTTCCCATAGGCTCAGAGGGCTGGGTGAGAGAGCAGGCATCCAGTCAGTGCTCAATCACTGCAAGCTCTGGTGGTGGTGATGAGCTCTGTGTATCCTCTCTGGAGTCTAGCCATTGGTTTTCCTTTCCCATGCCCAGATATTGGGCTCACCTCACATTCACACCTTCCTGGCTGTGCGACCTTGAGCGAGGCATAGCCCCTGTCTGCTTCTCATGTCCTTGCTGGTGAAATGGGTTTAACAACCGCTGGGCCAGACCCAGAGGCCTACGGTGAGGCGCGTTGGAGCAGGTTACCATTGTCCTTGGAAGCCTGTCCATCCTGGCCACAGCTGCAGGGCGCTGTGGAAGGAAAGGACTCGACGGGCCAACAGCCAAACCTTGGCATGCTTAGCCACTTTCCACCTTTCCTCATCTCCTCATCCAATCCTCAAACCGGTGTCAATGTTTCCACGTCAGCTCTGCTGTGGGGCTGCAGTGGCCCATCTCCGCCACACCTGGGGGGCCTCGCCGAGCTGTCCCCGCCCCTGTCCTCCCAACGGCGTTTCTAGCAGACAGAGCTGTTCTTCCTTGCTGGCCTGCCCTACGTGCTGAGCCCTCCTGTTTACCCATCTCCTCCTGCTCTCTCTCCTCCCCCAGAGACTAAGCGTCCCTGGCCCTCTCCTCGTGTTCCCCTCCACCCTGTCATCTTCTCTAGGACCCTTTCTGTCTTGTCTCATCAACCCGGTCCTTCCTTCTTGGCCAGCTCTAGCCTCCTGCTCTAGACTTTACTATTCTGGGAAACAGAGAGGTGTGTGCAGAGGGATAGAAAACTAGTATGATTAGAGAACTGAGAGAAATCTAGGCTGAGCAGGTGGGTGTACATTACAGAGAAGAAGGTTCTGTGGTGGGTGGAGCATCACGTTGGGCCACGCGGTGAGCTGGACTTCTCCGCACCCTATAGCAGCTTACCTTCCTTGCCCCATGGTGGAAACAGGTAAAATTGCTGGAGGGAGGATCCTGGCCTCGCCCACGCTCAGAGGTGGTGGCTCCTCCCTTCTACTCTGAGTGACTTTCAAGCTGCAGCCACCACTGGGAGCCATCGGAGATCTGTAGGCTCAGGGGAACCATGGTAAACCGGCTGGCTGCCTCTGTCTTGTGGGTCACTGGGCAAGAGCACAAATAGAAATCCATCCACCACATGTTTAGATATTCAAAATTTATAAATAAAGCTAATAAGCTGTCAAATATAATGTTTTATTTTTCTACCTCCATTAATATACCTTCAGAATGACCTGGAAGATCAGGTTTGAATTTTGAATTCTCTGACACTACAGAATCCCTCCCCAGAACACGGGGACATGAGAGAGCTGGGTTAGTGGTGTGAACACACGTGCAGTGTGGGCTCCAGGGCTGCTGGCTGACCTGGCATAAACATAAAATGTGCTTCAACCCAATCAGTATCAGTGCTTTTAATTTCCTCCCAGGCCAGTGTGGCCAAAAGATCTAGAAGGCAGTATGCACAGTTGTTAAGACCCTCATTCAAATCCCAGGACTGCCAAACTTGAGTACTTAATTTTGGAGGCTCAATTTCCTCATCTGTAAAATGGGACTCATGATACCTCCCTGATCAAGTTATTGTGATTATCAAAAGAGATAATCCTTGGGAAGCCCTTAGCATGGTCGTAGAAAATAACTGCTCAATAAGTTGTATGCCACTATTGCTATTCTCATTTCTCCACGCTTGGGCAAGGACAGCATCAGAGCCGGAAGTCATCTGCCCTGTCTCTTCACCGCACACATGAGGAAACAGGTCACTCCACTAAGCAGAAGCAGATATGGAACAGGTCTTCCAACTTTCCCACAGTCTCGGGTTTTTCCCTAGCTACACGTAAAACATGGTGGCCCAACAATGTGAGTGTCTGAATGTCAGTGAACTGTACATTTTAAAAATGGTTAACACAAAAATGTTATGGTATGTTCATTTCACCACTGTGTTCGTTGTCTAGGGATGTCATATCAAATTACCATACACTGGGGGCCTGAACAACAGAAATGTATGGTGTCACAGTTCTGGAGGCTAGAAGTCCAGAATAAAGGTGTCAGTAAGGTTGATTCCTTCTGAAGGCTGTGAGGCAGACTGGCCCATGCCTCACTCCTAGCTTCTGATAGTCCGCCCACAATCTTGGCTTCTTTGGTTTGTGGAAGTATCACTCTAATCCCTGCCTTTATCTTCACATGATGGTCTCCCTGTGTGTATGTGGCTTGCTCTGTGCATCCAAATTTCCCCCTTTTATAAGGACACCATTCAGATTGGATAGGGTCCACCCTATTGACCTCACCTTAACTAAAGACATCTGCAATGACCCTATTCCTGAATAAGGTCACATTCCGAGTTAGTGAGGGTTAAGATACATAAGCTTTGCGGGGGGGGGGCATATTTCAGCCCATAACAACCACAGAAAAAAACGTGGCTACCTTGCATGAAGGGAGGTGTGTATAGCTCAGTGGTACAGCACATGCTCAGCAAGCATGAGGTCCTGGGTTCAATCCCCAGTACCTCCATTTTAAAAAAAAAGGAAAAAAAATTGTGGCTATTTTGTATTCAATATCAGTTTATAGGCAGGGGGAAAACAACTTCAGAGCTTTGCTCATAGTAAGTCTTCAAAATGTGTTTCTTGACTTGTGTTAAATCTGGTGCCAATAATCTAAAAGGACTGGAATCTCCCAGTTTCCAAGACGCATCCTCTCCTGGCCATGAACTAAAAGGATTTGTAATGATCAGTACTGTTTCCAGACAAGTACTTAATAAACTCTTTAAAAATAATTAGTTCTCTTTGGTTGGCTCAACTCTGCAATCCTGGACACCATCTTGTTTCTACTATTTCCATTCTCGGAGAAGGGGTGAAACCCAGCTACAGCAGGTTGAATTCCATGGTGTTTTGTTTTCCATGTGAATAGCTTATTTTATTTAAATGTTTCCTTTACATTTTTTGAGGGGAAAGTCTTCAAATAGAGAAAACTTGCAACTGTTAACCCTTGTGCCACATCTGCTGTATCTGTATCAAGTTTTTCTGGTGAACCACTTGAACAGAAGCTGCAGGCATCATGATGTTTCACCTCCAAATATTTCAACATGAATTTCCTAGGAACAGATTGTTCTCCTGCACAATCACACTGGGATTCTCACATCTGAGAAAACCAACAATCGTTCCATAATACCGTCTCATATCCAGTCCATATTTAAAATTGAAGGCTGATTTTTCAAAAATTCTGAATCTAATGAATTCCAAGTCTGTGAGGCTTAGGGTCTTGACAATACGATCTGTGTAATGGGAAATTTTGAAGCTCTCGAAAATTAAGCTAACATCTAGAACTCTTCTGGCCACACACATTGATGTTTCTTTGTTTTTTCCCACTAGCAAGCTAGCTCTAGGAATGCCTAACTGCATGCTTGGGGTGGAGTGCTGCTGGAATTCCTTTTATTCTAAGACAATGGCCTTCTGAGGAGTACCTGCAGGAAGACCTGTGTGGCCTGGGACCTGCTACAATTGTTTGGGACCTCCGGCAGGATTCACCAAAGGGAGCCAGGTGGGGAGGGAGGCTCGTCTTTGACTGGGGTGGAGACTCCCAGAATGAGCAATGTCCCCTCCAAAGCTGGCCAGGTGCCAGCCTGGTGTGGTTGCCAGCACTGCCGTCCTCACAGACACTTTCTGGGGAGTTCCAGATGGTGGCCCAGACAATCGAACCGTCCTGGCCTCAAAAGTCTGCCACAAATCAACACTGCACGAAGGAAAGGAGGAATGTTCTGCAGTGAACTTTCCTGAGTTTAGAGGGAACGGTGCTCTTTCTCTCCCTTCTCTGCAAATCCAGGGCTCAGGCTTAAGCCTTAGGCTTTAAAAACTGCTTCATAACTAGGGGCAGCATTAATTGGTAGAACTGTGCAAATAAGAGGGGGGACCCACAAGGATGGAGGGGGCAGGGGGACTATCTGGTCTGTGATTCAGGACAGCCTTCCTCCTCCAGCCCCCAGCCTTGCTTGAGCTTGGCTGCAAGTTTCAGCCAATGTATTTCTGGTTGGGAAGGAAGCCAAGGGTCAGATAAAGTTCCAACGTATTTTGCAGCAGGCCTGACACTTTGCCCAGTGCTCTAGGCCTGTGACAGCTGCCAGGATGGTGTGTTGGGAAAGCCAGGCCAGACGGAGCTGGTTTAAATGGGCTTGAGAGAGCAGGTATTTGACCAAGCAGACAGCTCAGCAACACCCAGCACGGTAACACCCTTGAACCAACGTGGCTGCCTGGGCCGCGTAAGGCCCCGCACGCCGTCCCCAGGAAGCCGCCAGCAGCTACCATGTTAATTCCCCTGCATCTCAGGGACCAAGATCTGTACTCCCATTGGACTATCTTTAGTAAAACAAGTAAACGCTTAAGCCATTGAGCACCTGACATTCATTATCTAATTTAATCCTCACGACGGCTCGGTAGAGCAGGTAGTGTTATTGCCCCAGCCGTACAGATAATAACTAACACATACAGATAACAGATACACCTACATGTATGAGACTCCCTTCTAAACACCTGCCAGGCATTACCTAACTTACTAGGGAAACTGAGGCACAGAGGGGCAAAGCCAGCTGTCCAGGGTCAGAAGGCTGGTAGGTGGGGACCTGAAGCCCCTGGAAACCAGGTGACTCCAGATGGAGGGTCCACCCCTGCACTACCCCATGGTTTTCCAGCTGAGGAATCTGTTCTGAGACACGCAGGGGAAGACAGACCGGGGTGACATGGGAAACAAAATGAAGGCGAAGGTTTGCAGTCTTCCGTTTCCTGACGAACATAATGAGGCCCCCGTGGGAAGAGATGCTCAGACATCTGACCCTGAGCCCTGGGCCGCTTTTCCTTCCTCTCCCCTGGCCCAGTTGGTCTGACTGTGTTGTTCCAGGCCTCAAGGGAGCCGTTGTGAGACAGACAGGGACAAGTGCGCAGGCTGGCAGGCTGGCAGGAGGCCTTTCGCTCCCACCGAGCTGCAGCTGATCCTTCTCTACTCCGAGGCAGCCTGAGGGCAGTGAAAAGCTGCCCTGTGTGTCTCCTGTGGCTGAGGCTGACTGTCCTGAATCTGGAACCGAGCCATCTGGGCGCAGCCTTGCATGAAGGCCAGGCTTCCTGTCACATTTGGGCTCTGCTGATACCCCAAGGCCACCTGCAGCAATGTCACTTGGGAGGTGAGAACAGACTGCCTGGTGTCAGTCCTGCTATTGGCATCGTCCTCATCAGCTCTGCTGTCACCTGCATGTGAGGACAAACTCACACACCCAGAGGAGCTGCTGTCTTCTGTCCCACGGCCTGCACACACCCATGGCCTCTGGACCGGACTCTCGGGAAGGTGCATCAGGCCTTGCTTTGAAGCACCAGGCTGCGTGCTCAGAGGCAGCGCCACAAGGGCAGGATGAGATGACACTTCCAGAAGAAATAATGTCTAAGCTAGGTTTTACATATGTAATGAACCATGCATGACTATGACTGTATCCTGCTCCTCAGGGAAATTTAGGTTGACATATGCTGTCTTGACTTTTTCTTATGTTTACAGACATATCTATGCCTTTATCTATATAAATATCTCTAATTTGTTAAATTAGAATGGGACCGACTTTCCTCACTTCTCAAGGCACCAGGAACACTTTTTCATGTGGGTATGTACTGGTCTAATGGCTGCAGAGTATTCCAATTTATGAAGGCTGTACCATCATTTACAATAGCAGTCCCTTACTAGTAGACATTTAGACTTTCCTCAATGTTTTTGCTCATCAATCATTCTTCCTTTCTTCCTTTCCATAAATATTTATTATATTCTTACTATGTGTCTGGTATACGAAGAAGAAAATGGACATGGTCTCTCCCTCAAAGACCTTTCAGTCCAGTGGAGAGACAAAATTCTAATCCCCAGATGCAATAAAAGCTAAGGAGGGAGGTTATTTTGAGAGGGAACACACCAGGGCCCCTGCTCTACTGAGAACTTGGAAAAGACTTCTCGGAGGTGCCAGTCGTTTGAGGAGTGTAGGGAAGAGCATTCTGGGCAGACGGAACAACATACGCAAGGGCAGAGATGGCTGAACACAGTGTGTGTGATATATTTGGGAAAATCTAAGACTCCTCCTAAGGCTACAGTATAGGGACATATTGCGGGTGCAGCTAGACAGGCAGGGTGGAATCCACATGAGAAAGCCTCCAATACCAAGCCAAGGCATTTGGACATGATTCAATAGGCAAGAGAGCCCTCATGTCAGAGTCTAGACACAGAATACTGCAGGCTCCCACCTGGAAACACCCAGGAGAATATTAATGTTCGAGAGGAAATCTCTGCTTTCTATGGAAGGTTTCTTTTACTGCCTGCTGGGAGTTCAAAGCCTGTCCTAAGCTTCAGGGCTGGGCAGGTTACCTCATTACTGAGTCCCCCACAGAAATGTGGCCCAGAGAGATCAAGGCACTCACCCAAGTGAAGTAGCAAATCCATGCCAAAGTCAGAGCCTAAGGCCCTAAATGCCAGCCTTCAGCTCCAGCCCCAAACCCACCCCCTTTCACCTGCAGATTTTTTCTGGCAGCCACTCCTTCCACTTTCTGACAGGAGGGTGAGGAAACGCCTTTTAACAAGAATCTGTGGAACACCTACGAGTGTTCCACTGGGCTTAGCCCGGAGGATGCTCTCAGCCCCAGAGGACAACAGGAGTTCCAGTCATTTTTACCAGAAAAATCTTTCGGCCCCTCCCCCACTCCGCACCCTCTGCGCCTACCCCCTCACCCCTCCTCCGCCTCAAAAAGTTGCTGAAAAATCATGCGTAACACAGCGGACAGGAGCTTCCTGCCTTGTTGAGCTGGCTTACTCAATTTCCCTCATTTGTCCTCTCAGACCAGACAGAGCAAAGGGCAGCCATCAAAGGTGTCTGAGACGAAGCTCCAGCCGCCGCCGGCTGACTGGGCTGCTGGGGACTCAGTCTGGTCCCGGTGTTCGCTGAGGGTAGGGGCTGGGGGAGGAGGAGGGGGTTGGGCCAGGGGTTGCGGGGGCGAGGAGGAGGGGGCTGGGCCGGGGGCAGCCCGGCGGGGTTGGGTGGGGACCCGCCCTGCGCGCCGGATGTGCTGTGTGCGCCACGTGCAGGAGCGTGCAAGCGGCAGCCGCCGATGGCGCAATCGCGGCCAGCGTGCGGCTGGGCCCGTCCCGGCGGGGCGGGGAGCGGGGGCGGCCAGCTGGCGGGACCCGCCCACAGCACCTACCCTCCATCCCTCCTTTCGCGCTCTCCTTGCCCCCTGTGAGGGGTTCGAGGGAGGATGCCGCCCTAGAGGTCCTCTGCGCCTTGCCTGGCTGGGCACAGGGGCGCCCGCACACGGGTGGGCATGCGCGGGCACACGGCCCGGGCAGGCTTGCCCTGATCCCCGCTGCCGCCCGGGCTCATTATCCCTGGGCCATTGGCGTTCTGTTCTGCGCTCATCCCTCCACCCCCGCACTGCGCTGACAGACACACGAGTTCCTGGTGCCAACCCGCAGACACACCTGGGCAGCTCCACGTGGGCGCCACACGCGCCGGGGCGCATTTGCCCCGCTGGATTTGGAGACTTATTCTAAGTCAGCCCCTAAATTTGTTGTCCCATGCCTGTTGTAACAAGCATTGAGCTGTGTGTCCTTGGGGAAGTTGTTTAACCCTTCTGATCCTCAGAAAGTCATCTGTTGGATGAGAATGATGATAGTACTTACCAATCTCATTGGGTTGTAGTAAGAATTAAGTAAGATAAGGGTGGTGGGTATAGCTCATGCTTAGCATACACAAGGTTCTGGGTTCAATCCCCAGTACCTCCTCTAAAAATAAAGTAAGTAAACCTAATAATCTCTCTTCCCCACAAACAAAAAATAAGATAGTGGCTGTAAAGTATTAAGCCTCACTGGTCACCCAATAGACAATAATCATGATGATTTTTATAGAGGGAAAAAACTGGGCTACAAGCCCCAGTTGGGCTCAGGGAGTCTGTGGCACGGGCCAGAATGGGCTCCTGGGTTGTTTTTTCTTTCCTATATCATATTTCTCTTTTCTGCAATTCCCTTCATCTCTTCGCCTGGAGCCTGCAACATTCATCCATTCACTCAACACAAGTTTCTTGATATTTGTGCTTACTACATGGTATTAAAAACTCCTTAACTGAGTGTGTGGCATCCCAGGCCCTGCCAGCTACACCTGTGGCCTCTCAGCCTGGACTGCTGCCAGCTCGGGCCCCTGACTCATGGGAGTAAGTCACGTCCCGCCTCAGTCTCTCCATCTGTACTCTAGGGATAAGGGCCTCCTCTCCCCAGTCTTCTGGGACCCGCAGAGGATGACTCAGATAACAGTGGGGAAAGCCCAGAAAAACAGAAAGAGGCTCTTACTGGAGCCAGGGCACGATGGCTGATGCAAGGTCTAGGTTTTACGTGCAATCCAGCAAGTGGGAACAGGGCTAGTCCGGGGAAAGCGTGAGGAGCCTGGGAGGGCAGAGGCATTCCTGACCCTCCCCAACATCCAACGGCTGGGGTGGGGGACCCAGCCTCCACCTTCCTCTGAGAGGCCAGCCCTGGGTCCAGGCTCTGCTTCTCCCAGCTCTGTGACCACCAGAGTTTCCTAATTCCTGTGATCTGCCTTCCTTTTCTGTCATGTAGGAGTTGTGACATTTCCCTCACTGGGCTGTTATAGGGAGTAAAGGTGGTCAGAGGCTTGGCATAGTCTGGCCACCCCAGGCTGGTGTCCAAGGGCCCCTCCCCAAAGAGTCAGAGATCAGTGTACCTTCAACCAACTCCAGACATAACAGACCCCCACTTATACCCCATAATACCCAAGGAGTTTGGACTCAGGGTCCAAACCTGGTCTCTACCACATGCAAGCTGTATGACATTGGGCAAGTTACTGTCTTTGGGCCTCATTTCTACACATGTGAAATGAGGACGGACATGCCTGCTTTATGAGGCTGTTGTGAGAATAAGAGAAAATGAGGTACATGTGAAGTGTTCGTAACAGCGGCCATTGCTGTTGTTGTAAAATGCATTTTTTACATTTCCCCCACTGCTCCTCACCATTACCTATCACAGGTGGGGCCAAGTAGAATATTATTATCTTGGGTCTTTGGGATAGAAATATTACTGAAATCTTTGATGTCTTTGTTTTCTTTCAAAGTTGATGGCCTCATCCCATGAGCTTTAATGGCAGGAGTTCTGCCTGCTTGGGGACTTTATAGCCATTATTGTATTTAACATGTGATGAAGGACTTATATGACATCCATTATACAGATGAGAAAACCGAGGCAGGGAGTGGTCAGATAACTTGTCTCAGGTCACAGGATCAGAAAGTGACAGTGCCAGGGTGTAAGCCTAGGCCTGCTGGGCTCCAGATTGTCCCACCTCACAGGGCCCTTCCCGCCTCTTGTGTTTCTGCTCTGGGTGTTGCCTTGCCCTTTCCTGAGTGGGCCTCTTAGGGTGTCTCCAAGGCCAGGGACAGTCATGATCATTGCTTCCTTGTCTTCCAGGGTGTGGCCCGAGTACACAGTAGGTCCTCAGTCTGTGCTGCTGAACAGGGAAATTGAGTCCCACTTAGCAGGGAGATGAGTCCTATCAGGAGGGAAGTGACTCACCCGGGCCAGCTGAGTGTGCGGGCTGTGTCTGTGTGTCTGTGTGTGTGGGTAGGGGTGGGCGTGGACGTGGTTCTGCACAGATGATGTGGAGGGAAATCCAGGCTGGTGACCCAGTCCCTGCCGTCTTTGCCAGCCCCAGCGTCACAAAGCCTCCCGTCCCTTCCCAGGCCCTCTCTGCCTGAGGCCTCTCTTCTCTTCAAGCTCCTTCCCCACCCCAACATGGTCCTCATGTGTCAGCCTTCAAGATGCCTCCTCCACACCTCAGCACTCTATGCTGAGCCTGCAAAGGGGTGGGGGTCAGGGGTTCTCAGGGCCACCCTCCCCTCTCCAGCCTAACACAGGCATCTGGCTGGGGTCACAGCCAGTGTCAGCTCGGATGAGAAGCTGACTCCTCCTTTGCCTGAGGAGAAGCTCTTTGGGTATCTCCAAGGCTGGGCCCTACTATTTTTAGATGCCATCCCCTCCCTTCCCTCCCAGCTTCATACCAGCTGAGGGAGGAAATGACTCACTCAAACTCAGACAGGTAGAGGCTGCCTTAGTGAGCCACAGGCCAGCCCTGCCTGGCTCTAGCCCTCGGAATGCCCCACTTGGGGTCACCCCAGAGTGGCCTGCCCCTCAGCCTGAGGATAAAGCTGTTGGGATCAAGGCCCAGGGTCTCATTAGGCCTTTTGTGGGCTCCCTCTGCTATTTGTCTCACAGGACTGAGGGCAGGACACTTCCAACAGGTTGTGGACCCTCTGTTCACCTTAGCAGACTCCAGGCCTCTAACTCTCTTCTGGGCCTGTGGTAGGCCCCAGCCCAGTGTGAGGGGGTCAGGCAGGTCAAGCAGACTGACTATGGTCCTACCCATTAGCCTCAGTGGAGACCAGGGGTACAGAAAGAAGAAAGACTGCTCAGTAGGGGAAGGGGAAAGCGTGAAGACCCTGGGTATGTGCGTGCTGAGTTGTCCCAGCTTGCCCACGTATGAGGAGTTTACTGGGACCGGGGATTTTCAGTGCTAACCAGGAAAGCCCTGGGTAAGCCATGACAGCCGGTCACCCTGGTGCTGAGTTGTAGGCTGTATCTTCGGAAAAAGGCAAGTGTTGGGAGCTTGTTTGGATTTCTTGGCCTGGTTGCGCCCAGTCAGGACTGGAGGACCAAGTTCCTGGACAGACCTCTCTCTGGTCAGGGGATAGTTCTATTCACCTCCACTGGGGAGAGACTGGGCCCGGGCTGTGTGAAAGGCCAGGAGCTCTGGGCTGGCTGAGAGACCCAGGACGCATCTTGGCTGGGGCAGCTCTCCTTGCTAAAGCCAGAGACGGGGAGGGCAGGCCAGTCAGCATGGGGTTTGGGGCAAGGATGAGCAGCGCTAGTGTTGGGGGTAAGGAGAGGTGTCGGGGAGAGACACTGGGAATAGCAGGAAATAACGATGAGAGCATAGGGTTGGCATCAGGGAGGCTCGGTTCCAGGCCCCCTTACTGCCAGTGCCTCAGTGTCCCCAGCTGTAAAATGGGAAGAGGGGCACCTGTCCCACGGCCTCAACTGTCTGTAGTGAGGAATTTGAGAGAATGCCTGGGGCAGTGGGCAGTGGGCAGTGGCAAGTTGGAAAGCTGGGGCTGGGGTCGTTAGTTGCAGAGGCCTTGCTGGAACTGAGAGCCCACAGAGCTCTCAGCTGGTCAGGGAAATGGGCAGAGGATGCCTTCGCCCTCATCTCCACCCCAGATCAGCATCTGCGTCAACATGGCCCCTGGCCTCACCTTGGGGGTCTTATCAGGGGAGCAGTGGCCAAGGCCCAGACCTTGATGGGGGCACACACTTTGCCATTGTCCTCCTCACCCTCAAGGTGTTGGCTCTTTTTCCACGGACCAGGGGTCAGTGGCCTAGGCAGCAGCTCCCACACAACTGAACTGGGCAGCCTTAGGCAAACCACTTCTCTTTTATGGGCCTCAGTTTCCTCACTGGTAAAACTGTGGGGTTAGATGGGATCTCTGGTTTTTCAATATTTATTTTTGCAGTGGAACGTCTTCTCCAGTCAGAGTTCCAACTGCACTAAACGAAAGAGAGGACAGGGGGCAAATGAAACCAAGGGCTCAAGGGGACACAGCATGAGACCCTCTATAGGGAGCCTGCCTTCTCTAACACTCTATTATTTGTGCCTCTAGGGCAAGGGTGTCCTGGTTTCCCTCCCCAGGCAGCCCAGTTAGGCCCCAAGCCCAGCACCTGGCACATTCTACCAAGTATAGAAATCTCTGAGTTCTCTAACGCCTGGTTCCTGCTGACAGAGGTCTGTCTCAGCCCTTGTTATAGAATTCAGTGGGATCATAGGCCCCTTGTCGCTTCTCAGGGAAGTTACAGGACTGAAACCTATGCCACAGCTAACCTTGTGGGGCACTTCTGGGCTTGTGAAGAATTTCCACATACCTCATCCCATGGGCTCCCCAATAGCCGGCAAGACAGGCCTGAGATTCCCACTTAGTAGGAATCTTAGACTGGCTCAAGATCCCCCCACTGTGGGTGCAGAGCTGGGCACCTAGCCAGGAACCCTGGTCTTTGCCTGGAGTCACAGTCAGGCGCACCCGGCCAAGGCCCAGGCTTTCCCTTGCTTATCTCTGGGATGCTGGCACCTGCCGGCACCAATGGCAGAAAGGAGGTAGGAATCTACGAGGAAGGCAGGAAAGTGGGAAAACTTTCTTCCTTATCCTGGAGGTCTAGGGCAGCCATTCTTCCCAGCTAACCAAAGAGGCAGGGTTACCTGCACTCTACCCCATCAACTTCCCTGCTTCAGTCAGAGAAGGGTGGGAAGGGGGAGGAAGGGACCTCAGAAGCTGAGATTGCATGAACAGGTAAGGGAGGATGCCAGCGGCCAGGCAGCTGACCCGGGGTTGCCCAAGGGCTCTCAGGAGGCCCCCCATGGGCACTGACATCAGCAGTGCCCTGGAGGGACGTGCAGTCCTTGGGCTGTCTGCTCTCTCACGACAGCAGGCATGGGGAAGGGCCGAGCCAAGTCAACAGTTCCTCGAATTGTGTTACAGCCTCGGCCTGCCAGCTCCGGAGCTAATAATACAAACAGATGTAGGGTCACACAACTCCGTCCCATGACCTGAATCCCACCCTGCCGCGTGAACTCAGGCTCAAGTCCCGGCGTCCTGGGGTGAGGCTGGGTCCAGGGAGGACTCCAGCCCCCAGGTCGGCCTGTTTGTACAAAGCCCACCCAGGTCAGGCTAGCAGCCCACTGACTTCACTATTGACAGAGGCTGGCATTAAGGACTCAACCAGTGAGGTCTGTGAAATGATAATGATTGTAATAAAAATTTTTAAATGATACAAATGAAAAGTGTTTATGTATAATTTTAAAATTATAACAAGAAATTTTAAGTGATACAAATGAACTATGATAAAGATGCCCTTTACAGCTGAGGCTGGAAACCTAATCTCCAGACTTTGTGGCCAGGGCTTCAGTGCTGAGAAGGGACCAGAGGGAGACTGAATACCCTGCCTCCACCACCACTATATGCTGTGTGAGCCTGGGGCTCACAGCCTGAATGTCACAGATAGTCGCTACCGTTGTGGCACTCAAGGAGGCTGTCAGACACACAGGGTCCAGGATGCCATCCTCAGCACCTGGGCCCTAGGCTGGTGGCCATCAGGTAGCAAGCCTGCCAGCAGTGACCCTGCAGCCATGGCCAGGGCAGCACTGGGGCAGCCCAGGGAAAGCACTGGGTCTGTGTCCAGGAGTGGGTGCTGCCACCCGGCCCAGGCCTGAGCGTCACTGAGAGCATCATCTTCTACCCATCAGGGGTGGGAACCGCTTCAGTCAGTGAGCAGAGGTCCCCTGGAGGATGAGCACTGTTCATAATTCTCATGTGAGCCCTGGTACAGCCATCCCTGCTCGGGGAGAGGAGACATGGGGGTATCTTCTGGGGGACTCTGCTTCCCCCAGGAGGTGGGGAAAAGGGAAAAGGCGTTGCTCAACACTTATCCCACAGGAGACTAGTTACCTCCCCCCACTGTACAGCTAGATGCTGGTCCTTACTGGAGCCCTGTCAGGTCTGGCAGAAGCGTCCATGGTCCTGTGCGTAGGATTATGGCTTCAAAGCTACCTACATGGCGACCCTGGGCAGGGTGGGTGAGGTGGAGAAAGCTGCAGAGGGACTGCCACGAGGGCCATCAGAAAGGCTTCTTGGTACTGGGGGGCCCTTTCTTCTTCAGCAGTGTTCATGGAGGCCCCACTATGCCCAGGCCCTGGGACTGCAGCCCTGAACAAGTGGGCAAGCCCCAGACAGGAAGTGAAGCCTTCTTCCAAGAACAGCACAGGGACCTCCAGTTACAGTATGAGAGGGCAGGCTGGGCCAGGCTATGGGAACAAAGGAAGGCCTCCCAGAGGAGGAAAGTGGAGGAACAGCAGGGAGGCCTCAGGCAGAGGGAGGTGGGCAGCATGTCAGGGAAGGAAGGGTGGGTGGAGGAGGCTCTGGCAGGCAGCAAGGTCGAGTGTGAGGGCCTGGAGGCCATGGGGAGCCAAGAAAAGGCCTTCCTTCCATCCTTCTAGCCTCCACTTCCCTCATCTGTAAAGAGACAGCCACCATCCTCCTGTGCTGTTAGGGTGCCTGACTCTTGGGCCCTCACTGTGTCCATCAGAAAAAATGGTAACAATCCAGTTAAGGTAGTAAGACTGCTGATCAGAGTCCCTGAAGGCCTTAAACTTGATCTCTTGGCCTTACCAGCACCAGCTCCACTGGGGAACTGTACCCTGCCCTCCCTAAGGAAAACCCCAGCCAGAGTCAGAGCTACAAAAGTCAGCCCTGCCCTCCCTGGGACTTTGTTCAGACTAAATTAATGAAGGGGAAGGGGAAGATGGAGGTGGACAAGGTGTGGCAGTTAGACCCCCACCCTTCTCCCAAGCAGAGCCCCATCTCCTGGGCTCTGGGCTCTGGCAGGCTGCTTGGCCATGGGGGTTCCAGAGATGCCCCTTGTACCCCTTGTCCTGACTGGGCCCTGGACCTTTATTTCCTGCCCAAAGAGCTGTGGGACTTTGGAAGCGACAGGAAGCCTAGGCCCTGCTCCTGGTGAACATCCCTCCATGAGGGTCTTGGGGGGAAGGAGTGACAATGTGAATGCCACAACCTAGTCCTCCAGCTCTGCCAGCCTCTGCCCCCACTCCTCTCCCTGCTTCCTGCAGGGCTGGCCTGACAGGGCTGTCTCTCTAGGGCAGGGCCCAGCACCAAGAAAGGCTCGACATGCTTGCTGAACACATAACTGCATGGACAGGGAACAGCCCGGGTTCCAGAGGCACAGGGTCCCTTGTTTTTTCATCCCCAGTGAAGTTCTTCCTCTGCCCAAGGTCACTGGGTATGACTGGCAGGATGACAACTGGAAACCTGGCCTTTGTTTTGTTCCTGAGTGCGGTCACTCCCATACTTCCCCAGCTCTGGGACTTTGCTCACTGTCCCCTCTGGTCAAGAGCAGCACCTCACCCACAGCCCTGCCCGCACTCCCACCTCCATCACTGATGCCTGTTTCTTTACCGACAGTCCCCAGCCAGAGCCGCTCGCACCTGCCATGCTCCCAGGTTTGTTTCTGTCACAGTCCTCTGCCCACTGGGGTCTGCACCAGCTCATCCACCCGGCCTGTAGTTCCTCCAGGGCAGCCGTCTGTCGCCTGTGTGGTTTCGGTGTCTGGTGCTCAGTTAATCTCCCTCGACTGAAGACAAATAACAACACTTAGAGCTTCTATGTACCAGACACTGTTTTTTAAGTGTGTATATGTGATAATTTTAACTCTTTATAGTAACCCAATGAGGTAGGTGGTTTTACTACTCCTGTCTTGAAGATGAGGCAGAGGGAGGCTAAGTGACATGCCCAAGGCCATCCAGCCAGTACATGGATCAGCCCAGGCACCTGGGATATAGGGTCCACGCTGACCCCCCACAACTGATCTACCGTGCTGCCTCCCGGGAGTGATGCCAGCTCAGGGAAGCTGCCCTGCACGGTAGAGTGGACACCTTTGTCACTGCCTGCAGACAGAGGTGCACAGCTTATAAGAGCAGCCCATCCTCAGCCCCAGCCCTGGCCCCTCAGATTAAGTCCCACTTTCCTTAGTGTGGCCTTTCCCCTCTTTCCCACCCCTGAACTCAGGACTCCTGCCACTCGGCACAGGTGGGTGCGATCTCCCGAGGACAATGAATTCGGGTTCAGCAAACGTTTGCAAAGATTGCTCTGCTACATAGACCCCCAAAGGCACGCACAGCTTCATGGAGACCCTTGGAAAGGGAGACATTTCCCTCCTCAAGTCTCAGTTTCCTGCTCTGGGAAACGGGCTGACTCGCTCAGATCACATGGTGTGACATTTAGTAAGGCTTCTGACTTGCCCCAGAACCCACACTACGTCAACAGTCTATTTACCAGAGTTGGCACTGCGGTCTGTGCATCTGACCTGGACAAACAGGTGACTCTGCCAGGGAACTCGGGGTGGTGATGAGGTTACAGTCGGGCTGGGGTAGGTGCTCCTTGCCCCTTGGAGCAGTTCCCGTCTCGAGACCAGGGGGCAGCCTGGGACGAGATAAGCTAGTTGATCCTAGGAGCTTGTATGGACTAGTGGCTTGTTTTGCCACCTGACAGTGGGTGGGGACACTTGTCAAAGGCTCTTTTTTGCAGCAAACAGTTGGACGGAGCCTGTCCCACCCCTTCTGGCTTGCAGAGCTGCAAGCTGAGGGCAGGGGGTTGGGGTGGGTGAATGGGGGCGGCTGGCAATGCCTCTGCCAACTGCAGCCAACAAGTGGCGGCTCGCAGACCGGGCCGGGCTGGCTGCGGTGACCCGGGCGAGGGCAGCCAATGAGCTCCTGGGCTGCAGTGGCACCACCGGGCAGCCTGCCTGTCTTTGGCTGGAGCAGTAGCAGGAGGAGCCTCAGGCCACCAGTCAGGGCTGCCGGGCCCTGTCTCTGGGAGGCCGGGCAGATCTGCGGCTCTGTTCATGGAAAGCCCGACTCGGCTTGCCACATTTTTAACTTTCCCGACCTTCTGGGGGAGGAGGGCGGGCCGTGGAGGTGGTGTGGGAAAGATGGCTGGGAACACTGTGCAGCCAGAGATGGAAAGAAACATTTCCCTTGCTCTGGATCCAGGGTGGGGAGAAGGAAGGTTCTGAATCTGTTTGACTGACACCTTGACATTCTGGACGGAATGAAGGGAGTAGGACCAGGGGGAAGCAGAGGTTGTGATCATACACCCTGGACTGGTGTCAGGGACCCCAGGGTCCTGGCCTAATTGAGTCTCTTACCTTTTGCTTCAGTGGAGTCAGCCCTAGAACAATTCTTGTGACCGAAGTGGCTGTCGGCTGGGGCAAGTGGTGAGGGGACATTCAAGCTGTCACCAAAAACTCCTTGAGGGATGGGCTGGACATTATCAATAGCAACAGGGGCTTGTGCCCCCCGCCCCAGCTCACACAGATGCACCAACGCCAACCAATCACATAATAAACATATATTTATAGATATACAATTTCAGAATTCTAATTCAAGAAATACAGCTTCTCGGGGGATCCATTAGGACCTATGTTCTTATTGCACGTGGCTCAGCCCGTCTAGGGACGTCTACCAGGACCAGATGGTCAGGGTGATGGGGGCAGAGCACCGGGGGCCCCAAGGGTGGGGCGCTCTCACCCACATCCAGTTCTTAGCATCTCTCTGCACCTGGGGTGGCCGCTTCCTCACAGGGCAGGACCTTGTTTAAAAACCATGTTTGACATTTCTTGGCCAACCTTCCTTTCCCAGCAAGAATCCTATTTGTTGGGGGACTTTTAAAAAAAGAGCCAAGAGAGGCTCTGGGAGGGTGGTGATCCCATCCTGGCTGGCAGCTTGGGGTAGTAAGGCTTTGGAGGATGGCAGACTCAATGAAATATCCACCACCAGAGGAAAATTTGGGAAAAACGGTAATTCCAAAAGGCCCAGTATAAACTGTGGGAATAAATAAAACCTCTCTCCCTTTCCCTGGCAGCAAATGCTGTTTTGAGAAAAACTCTCATTTGAAGGTTAAGATAAGAAAACCCTCCCGGTTCACGTACATCCTTTGTCTAAAGCATGAGAGAAGGCTGGGTGGCATCATGTCCACAGAGGGTGGAGACAGAGGTGTCCAGAGTCACGGACTTTCTTCAGGAGTTGGCTGCTGCCCCAGGGTCCTGGGCACCACCTGGCTGACTCTTGGAGGAAAAGCCTTCTGGAGTCCTTGGTATACGACTTAGGAAAAACTAGACGTAACCACAGGGCTGTGCCCTGTGGCACCTATAAGGCAAAACTCACTTAGGGACTGAGTGGGGGGGGGGTCAGAGGGCTCCTGGGCACCAGGACCAAGAGCTCACCTGAGCTGGCCAGAGCGTGAGGTGGGTGGTCTCACCCCCACAGGCCGCCGTCTGGGGCCTCTACCATGACTCAGTACTGACCTGGCACCTGGCCCCACGGGCATTTTCCGCCCTGCAGCCTGCTCCCCTCCAGCTTAACCATAAACCTGGCAACCTTCCAAGTTTTCTACACATTTATCCCATCATGATTACTGCTGCCATCAAAAACAGGCTGGGGTTGAGGGAACGTTAAAAGCTACGACCCGACTTTCCTTATGCTGTCTGCTGTGCCTAAGGTCTAGCCTTTGAAGGACCAGGCTGCCTTCCCCAAACAGGTCTCGTTTTCTACAACAGGGGAGAAATCAACTAAACAACTTAACCAAATCCCTGCAGAGGTTAAAAAGTAGACTATATATATATATATATATCTCTTTATATATGCTATTTACATATAAATAGATATATATACACATACACGCATCTATAAATTACATTCTATGGAGAGTTCTCTTTCTTCCTTCTATCCTTGGCCAGCACCTCTGATTGCTTCCACTGAGGTGACTGCTGGTGGCTCCGGGGAGGGGAAAGAAAGGCAGTTGGGCACCCCCTCCCCCAGCCCTTCCCACAGACACTTGCTGCAAGTTTGACATTCTACTTCCGTTGCCATGGTTTCCGTAGCCTAGGAGAGAGCCGATGTGGAGCCAGAGCCTCCGCCAGCCTCGGGAGGAAGGGAAGCAGCCCTGAGGCAGGTTTTCCTGTCTGTCCTAAGAGCTTTCTGCATTTACTGGGTGAGAGAGAGGGCAGTTGTGCGGCGTTCGGCCTCCAATTCCATTTTAATTTTTTTCTTTTTATGTCTTTCGTTAAATATACAGTTCATCACCTTGGCTCAGTGCATGTCACCAAAAATTCTCCAGGGATTTCATAGTCTGGGGAGGAGAGGTAACAGTTAGCTCTGCAGTCACATGCCCTGGAGCGTCTAGCTTACCCTACACAAACCGGCCACCCCCCCTCCCCCCGGCCGGCCCTGTCCTGTCCACCTCAGCCCTCCCGCCCATCTCCCTCCTGCAGTCTATTTCTTTCTCCCAGGGGCAGGCACTAGCAAATGGCCTCAGAGCAGACTCTGGAGCTGGATCCCTGCTGAGAGGACAAAGGCAAAGGAGGGGGTGGGCAGGCTACCATCACAGAAAAGAACCTTCACCGGCTCTGCCCACACGCCTCTGGGCCTGGTCTAAGCTGTTCCCTCTGGCAGATGCTAGGAACAGAGCCTCCTACCCACACACAGGGGTAAAGGAGGCAGGGATCCTGCTACCAGCACCTTTCATTTTTTCCCACCCCTTCTGTGCTGAGGGCTCTGTGTCTGGTCCTGAACTCATGACCTTTTGTTCCCTTCCTCAGACCACAGGTGAGATGCCTGGGCAGGCTAGATGCCTGAGGCTTCCAGGCTGCCAGGTGCAGCATTCAAGAGTGCCTCTGATCCCACCAGACGAGGAGCAGCCTGGTGTACGGGCCTCTCCCGCTCCCAGGCTGTCGGCCCCCTCCCTGCCCATTGTCTGGCTGCCCATCCATCTTGTTCCATTTCCTCCCGCCTGGAAGGACAGGGGAAGAGGAAGGGCTCTTGGCCCACCCGTTCCCACATGGCTCATCCTGGTGTCAGGTGGGGAGCGTGTGGGCCCAGTAACACTTGGTAGCCCAAATCCCAGGGCACAGATAATAGTTGGCTGCACTTGGAAAAGGGCCAGGGGGACTTGATGGCTAGAGCAGACCAAGGAGGCACGAGTGGCCATCAGCAGCAGCCTCGTGCTCTGGCATCTGCCTGGCTCTTGGATGCCCCACAGCTCCGGAGCCAGGGGGTTGGTGGGGTGGGGTGGAGCAGCACTAGGGGGCTGAAACACACTTCAGCTTCCAAGCACACCCCAGAGTTGTCTGAATTCTGCAGGCTAGAGGTCAGGCCGGGGACAGGGAAACTGTGCCATGATCACCAGGCTCCCCACCTCCCCCTTTGCCTCATGACCAGGGCCAGAGCTGCCAAAAGTTGCAGGGCAGAGGAGGCCCTGGCTCATACTTGGACCTCAGTGGCACGGCTGGCCCAGGACTATCCATGCAGGGAGGCCTGCACCTCTGACAGTCGGTTACAGCTTGGGGTGCCCATCTTCTGTGCTTTGTGGTACATATCTGTGTCGCCAAAGTAGCGGGCCCGGTACAGCAAGCCTTCCTCTGCAAAGCAATGGGTCAGGTTTAGGGCACACCTCTAAGACTGCTATGATGCCTGCTTGGCCTTGGGCAGTGATGGGGGGAAGCCAGCTGCAGGCCCAGGAGCTGGGGCAGAGCTGGTTTCCCTTTAGGGTAGACCCTGGAGAAGCAAATATGGTCCCAACTTGGGAGCGGAATAGAAGCCCCTTTCTATAGAGTGTAGGTGAGGGCAGCCAACGTGACAACATGTCATCCTGGTCAGACCTCCCCAGGGTCCCAAAGATAGATCCAGATGCCCGTCAGTAGGTGGCCAGGAGATTTGCTCTAGTCTCGCTCTACGGCAGCCAAACGACAGGATGACTGCAGTGATTCAGGGCAGGCTGGAGGAAATCTCCAGGTGGCCCCGGCTCCCAGCCCTGGGGAAGCGCAGGGGTGGAGCCCAGCCCTTGGCCGGGAGGTGGCTGGCACAGGGCAGTGCCAGGTGCCGGGCCCACCAATCGCGGGGCAAGCAGGGCTTTCTCCTTCCCTGCTCTCAGGCTTTGTGCCCCCAAACCATGTGCACGTGCACACGCACACACACACACACACACACACACACGCTCACTTTGCTGCTTCTCCTTCCAACAGTTGTTTCGGAGATTGGCAATATAATCATCTTCCACGTTCCGTTCAACCATTTTGAGGCTGGAGCCTGTGTATTCCTCAGAGAACGTGTCCGCCACATAGTAGACGACATTCAGGTGGTCAGTGACTCTCTTGTGGACGTGGCCCACTGACCTGGCCAGAAATAAACCAGGCACAAAGTGGGTGTGCGTCCCAAGGCCCATGGCAGCTCTAGGGTTGATCTGGGCCCCCAACAGGCAGTACCACACAAGACACAGGAGTAGCTGCTTCCCTCCCAAAATGGAGCAGGAGATCTATACCACCCAAAATGAGGGTCTGGAGAAAAGGCAGGGTGTCCTTCCTGCACGAGGGGCCCAGACTATGGCAAGCCTTTCCTTGGGCCCTTTGTTTACCACACTGTTGGCCTGTTGACCTGAGGCCTTTGGGGAGAAGTCCCTTTCTGAGGCGCCCTGGTCAGGGAAGTAGGGAACCTGGAATGACTCCAGGATCCACATCTGATAAGCCGTGTGAACTGAACTTCCTGTGCCTCTGTGTCCTCATTCATCCAAGCCAATCGTTGCTAGGGGCTGCCTGACTATCTAGTCTAGAGTTAAGAGGCTTAGGAACAAAATGACAAGAAGGATTCCAATGAGTTACATCTTTCCAACTCTTGGATTCTATCTTCTAGCTCCAACTGCAGGCTCTGCAGGCTCTGGGAAGAGCTTCAACATGCAGACAGGAGTCAGTGCTCTGGTGAGGACAGCCCCTGCCTGCCCCCTGCTGCCTCTCAGCTCTCCCGCTGCAGAGAAGCCTGGCAGCAGGCCACAGAGCCTGAACTGACTGGTGGGGGTCCAGTGGACCGATTCTGCCCCCTGCTGGCTGACAGGGATCCTGCCAGGCTCCCCGGCAGAGCCAGGCCACTAGGTGGGGGCAGAGGGTTCCCACCAACAGAAGCTGAGTAGCTGTTCATATCAGATACTGCCCTACATGCTGGAAATAAATGAGGGAGCTGGGGCCTTAAGTGCCCAAGTTCACTACTGGTGGCTGAGACCATATATTCATCCAACTAGTGCTGTCAAGCATTTCTAAGGAGCCTGGCATACTATGTGTATTATTCATTCAATTTTCTCAAGCAGGTAGATGTTGTTGTCCCCATTTTATAGACGAGGAAATCAAGGCTCAGAGAAGTTACATAACCCATCCAGGGTCACACAGCTGTTGAGCTGGCAGAGGAGCTGGGATTCAAAGCCACCCTTGCTGACTCTAGAGCCCCTGTCCTTTCCATGGCCCCAGGGCCCCCAACCAGAGTGTAAGAGCAGCGGTTCTTATCTCAAGGTCAGCAGATAAGATGGGGAGAGTGTCATGAAACCTGTGAAGTCATATGCAAAACTGTGTGTGCAGAGTTCTGGGAAAGAGACCTGCAGGTTTCACTGCCTTTCCTTAGGCAGTGATTCTAAAAAGATCAAGAACCTGAGTTTAACAGGGAAAGCCTATTTTCTCAGTAGCTTTCTGCACTTTGATCAAGAACCTGCTGGACCAGGATGGGAAGGAAGTTCCCCTGATGGGGGTGAGACTCCCATGTTCCCTGTCTGCCCACCACCCGGCCTTGACCCCAGCTGCGGGTACTCACGGTCGCAGGCTCAGACTGTAGGGTGGACTGGAGACCATAAGCTGGCTGAGAGCTGACACGAGGATCAGGATGAGGATGGGCATCAGCTGGACAAATACCCCCAGCCCACCCTGGAGGGAAGAGCCAATGGTCACCCAAGCCGGACCTGGGTGCAGGTGTGACGTTGGCTGCAATCACCACCAGCTCCCCCAGCACAACGGAGCCTGAGTGGTGGGAGTCAGCTGCCACGCAGGCACCACTCCCTCCTCCACCTACCAGCTTCCCCAGATAGAAAGAAAGCAGCAACGGGTGTTAAATACAGGTGGGAGGTGGGTACACATAGTTACCTGTGAGAGAATACCAATGAAAACAGAGCAGAAGTGGCTGCCTCCAGGAGGACGGAAGGCAGGGCTGGAGGGACTCACACCTTTTTGAATTTTGAATCATACAGACTAAACTACCAATTAAAAAACTGCCAGTTAAGAAATTACAAAAAAGTTAATAAAGTTGTTCACTGTATGATAATTTGTGATTTAAAAAAACTCCTGTAGGTTAAGTACACACAAAAATAAAAGTTTAAAAGATGAATAAACAAAAATCGAGGGCCACATTGTTCCCTCTGTCTGCCATAATTTCAAATGCTCTCCAATTGTCCACAGTATTTTAATGTTAGCCAGTTGTTCTCATAATCTGTGGCATTCAAAATATGCTTGACACACTGCCAGTTTTTGTATACATATTTCTAAGAGCGCTGAAAAGAAGCAAAGAAAAACCAGTCCTATGTTGTCATCCTTTACAATTCTCTCATGAAGTTTATCTTTCCATTGCTTGCAAAATGTCACTTTGGCCTTAAAAATAACTGGACTACACAAAGGCCATTCACACTCAAACCTGTCTGCAGGTAGAGAAGTTTCTGCATTACATTTCCCAAGAAAGACCATCAAGCCCCTCCTCCCATTGTGGGTGATGTGGAGTGTGGCTCCCTCTGGTGTCCCTCAGCAGAATGGCAAGCAGGGGCCAAGAAGGCTTCCTGGCTGAGTCATGGGGGCACTGCTGTCCCAGAATAGTTGGCTAGGGATGTCACTCCCCAGCCCAGGCCCCACACCCTTGGGCGGGACTAGGCACCCTCCCCGTCCTCTCCCCAGTGCCCTCACTCACATCGCCCTGGTTCTCCCTGCGGTCCTGCCTTTGATGGTACGTATAGCGCATGCGGCCGTTGCTGTAGACATGGACGTTACCTGGGGGTCAGAGGGACTGAGTCAGGAGATGGGGCTGCTGGGAAGGGGAGGGGCTGGCATCCAGGTGCCCACCATCACTACCAGGGAGACCTGACTATAGGGGGAGTCGGGGTACTTACTAGATGGAAAGCCACCGCCAAAGAACATGTTGAAGAGGTCTTCAGGGGAGATGTCGGCTTCAAAGCCACGGTGGAAGTCCCCATGCCCATGGCCGTGCCGGGCTGCCTGGCTCTTGTCATCACCAAACTGGTCATACTGCTTCCTTTTCTCTGGGTTGCTGAGCACTGCATATGCTGTGCCGATAGCTGGAAAAGAGATAGAAAGGTCAGGCTGGAGGTGTGGGTGGCAAAGGGCTCAATTCCTTCAGGTATTCAAGTGGTGCTCTACGAAGCAGGAGTCCTTGGGGCCAGTGGGAAGTGTGGCTGTTTGGCAAGAGTTTGTATGTGGAGTCGGGGTGGGGTTTGGGGGGAAACACTTCTGCGTCCAGGCAGCCCGAGCTGGGTGCACCACTAAAACTCAGGCTCCTCATTTTCTACCTCATGACAATGGTCCAATTTTTCCTACACGCCAGATCCTTTACAGGGTTTATCTTACTTACTCCTAACAGCCCATCTCCATTTTACCAATGAGAAAACTGAGGCTCTGAGAGGTCAAATGTAAGTTCACACAGGTCTGAGGCTGCAGAGCCAGGACTCAAATCCAAGTATGTCTTGCTTCAAGTCTGCTCTCTGACTTCATGAAAACCACCAAAACGCCCCCTTCTTCATTTCTCTCTCTTGAGGTGTCCAGTAGGATGGGGCATTCCTTTCTGCAAGTTATGTAATCTTGAAGTCATAGCACAACTTGACGGCTGAACACACGCGTGATGTGCTGTTGTAAACTGAGGGCAGCTGGAAGTGCCGGCCACGTGCCCGGGCTCTAGTAAAGCCTCCTCCACTGCTGGTGGTGTGGCCTGGGTGAGCCCCCTTTTCCCTGGGGTCCGGTCCCAGCTGTGGAACCTTGGCCTAGCCCAAGTGGGAAGCCTGTGCTCCGAGCCCTCCTTGCTCCTTTTCCAGTGGCCCACTCTCTCAGAGGAGTAGGTCAAAGCAGCAACTGCTTCAGAATGTGCAACCCCTGAGAATAAGGGCCTCGAGGGCCAGATCTGGAGAAACATTAACCACAACTACCTTGCCTCTCCACTCCCATTCTCCTCCTCCCTCCTGGGCTGGCGGACAGGCAGTGGGGGAAGATGCCCTCAGACTGCCCCATGCAGCCTGGAATGGAACACCTGGGGCAGGCCCCAGGAGACGACACACCAGGTCGCGGGGTCTGCTCTGCCGCGGGCTCCCCATCTGGCTATGGTCACAGCCCCGGGACTACACAGACCCTGTCTGGGCCAGGCAGGGCTAGTCAGCATGCTTTCCTCCAGAGGGAGGTCAGACTAAGACCCTGAAGGTCCCATTGAGGACAAGGTGGGCACAAGAGAAGAGAGGCCTGGGGGAGATGGGGAACCACAGCGCTCAGCAACATGGTGCCAGCACAGAGCCTGGTATATGCCTAGTATGTTTAATGAAAATAGAAACAGTGAAAGGGCAGCTTATGATTTCAGCCAGAACTGCAGCACCCATCCCAGAACCAACAGGCCCTGAGGCCAGAAAGACTTCCATGCCCCCACTCCAGGCCTTGGGGCGTGCGTGCTGTGAGAGGGAGCATGTGTGTGTGAAGAGCCCGGGTGGGCTGCGCATGGCTGCGGGGGGAGGAGGCCACCAAGCCAGGAGCCCCTGACCTGGGGTAGCACGGGGAAACTACTACCAGGATCCCAGGATGGGGAAGTGAGGCAGGAGGCCTGCTTCTGCCTCTCAGTCACTGTGAAACCTAGAGACACCATCAGCCCTCTTTTGCCTCAGCTCTGCTCCTGTCACTCCCAGGGAATTAGGAGGAAGGGGAGGCAGGAGCCGCCCTGTCTGAGCTCTGACAGGCCCTGCTGGGCTAGAGGGGCTACTGGGACCTTCCTCCCAGGGAGCAGCTCCTGAGCTGGTAGGAGCTGGGTCCAAGACCACTCTCTGGAAGAGCCCCTATTCCCTCCCTCCCAAGGACAGAAGAACACCCAGACACCAGGAAAATGGGGCTGGCTTACCTTTGAAAGCTTCAGTGGCACCAGGCGCATGGTTCTTGTCTGGGTGGAACTTGAGGGCCAATTTGCGGTAAGCCTTCTTCAAGTCCTCATCTGAGGCCCCTCTGCTCACCCCCAGGATCTCGTAGTAATCTTTACACTGCTTGACCCTGGGGGGAGGGAGCAGAGTGTGGGGGTGGGAGGGGAGCTCTACGCGGGCCCAGGCTGGGAGGTGAGGCGGGCAAGGAAAAGTGGTGTGGGTGCTCAGCTCCGAGCAGGCTCAGGGGACCAGCAGGACAGGCCCAGTGGAAACACCAAGAATACACTAAGGATTTAAGAGGGGGCAGCTGCTGTTTCTGCCAGGCCAGGAACCACTTCCCTGAGCTAACGGCACCCTCACTGGAGGCAACCTCAGGACTGTCCGTCTGTCACTCGGGCCTCTGCCTGAGGACAGGTGCGTCCCAAGCTCAGCCAGCTCTACTCCCTCCTGGCAATCCGAGTCCGAGGGGCTAACAGAGAGGTCAGACAGGGCAGGTATCTGTTCACCTCATCACAGGGCCCTGAACAGACGCTGGTTCTCTTCCATCAGTTCTTACTCCTGAGGTCCCTGGAGACTCCTTGACTCTTGGCTTATTTCAGGCTTTCCCACCTCCCCACAGTTTCTATTGCCTACAACGCATGGGCTTGTCCAGTCGAAATGCTGTCTGGTCAGAAAGACGTACTTTGGCATAAGCTCTTATGGCAAACTAGTCACGCTAGGCCACACACAGGCTGAACCCCAGGTCTGAAGCTTGCTAACGTCTTCACCAGCAGCCAGGACCATGTGGGAATGGCCTCGGAGGGGCGCCTCAGGCTAGCTGGTGGGGAGGCCTGGGGAAAAATGGGAGTGGGAGTATCTATCCCTGAGAAGCCTTGGCTGGACTGTCTTAGCCTGGTAGTAAGCGGCTCTGTGCAGGGCCTGCCCACGCCTTGGAGGGATACCCTCTCCTGCCTCCTCTCCACCCTGCTTAGGCTCTGGTCTGAAAGTGTCTTTGTTAGGGGCAGGATGTGGGCTGGAGAATTATCTGGAGGGGAGACCAGGCCTCATCTCTTGACAAACAGAGCCATGTAGAGAGGCCCAGGGCCTGCTGGCCAGCAGCAGAGGAAGCCAGCGGTGTCAGCATTTACAGCCTCTGCTGTGGGCTGTCTTGGTGGGAGGGGACAGTGCAGCTCTGGTGCCCACACTCTATTCCAGGGCTTTGTGGGAGGCAAGGTGTGAGTGGGTGACGGGCAGCAGGAAGCTTCTCTAGATCTGAAAACATCCCAACAGCGCCAGGCTCGGGCCCCGCCCGCCAGGCTCCACCCTCTACCTTTTCACGGCTGCTACTTGTTCTGCGGTGTAGCCTTTGGTGCTCTCTCCTCCTCCAGCTTCACCATTGGCCGAGGGGGTGTTGGCCCCACCTGCTTTCCTCTGGGTCGCATGGGTTGACTCTGTGGGTTGGGGTTGGTCACTGGCAGACTGTGGTTTCTGGTTGAGGGACTCAATCAGGGCTGTGCAAAGCAAGGAAAGCGTTCAGGGATCCTGCTCCAGCAAGGCCACATGCAATGGCTGAGGGACTGAATGGCCCCAGGAGATCCCAGGACCTGCACATCCCATGTGCTCTTTCCCCCACCAAAGCCACCAGCTCCTTCCTTGACTTGGGCCTGTGAGGGGCTAATGGGATAGTCACCTGCTCTCTTAGGCCCACAGTTCTCAGGGTACAGGTCATCTTTAAACTCCACATAAAATAAACTATTAACTCTCTGTTCTTAAAATCCCAAAGTGCTGTGTTTAACAGCCACCCTCTGTTGAGTGCCAAGATGGGTGAAGTACTCTGCAACGGGGGTCCCACCGAGCATGACCATCCGAGTCAGCTGGGATTGGTCAGAAGGCTTCCCGGAGGCCTTCGCTGAGCGGTGGAGAGGAACGGGGGCAACGATTCTGCCCCAGAGGGCGGAGGTGGTGTGAGACTCAGGATAAACATCTGCTGTGCTTACTACTTGCTACTGTTTACTTTTTCAAATGGCTGACGATGTCAATGTCCTACTTCAGTGTTCAGAGTCCATACAGGGCATTAGTATCCCCCTCAGTGAGGGGCACAGTTATTCAATACCAAGTCCCTGGTCCCTGCCAACTCAATGAGGAAAGGCCCACATCTCTGTGCACAGACCTATGCCCCTATAGGACACCTCTGTGCTGAGGAAGGACAGTAGCATGGCCCCCCAGGTATCCCCAGCTGATACCCCACTGTGCTGGGTATCAGACACTCTCCACTGCAACGCATGTGGGTCTCCTCCAAAGGGCGTGGAGCAGGACTCGCTGGGAGCAGAGCACTGGCTCACGCGGACCACTGCATCCTGACCCACTGCTGCCTTAGTTGCAGTAAACTCACGTGTTCTCACCGGGTCAGCAGCCAGGAAATCCAAACACAGAGGCTGACAGGCGAGCTTGCCTACATGAGTGGGTGGAGGGGCTCCTGGAATAAACCCTGAGAGGGTGCTCAGCCAAGAGCCACAGTGATGAGCGCTTGCTGGGAGTAAGCAGGCCTGGACATGGTTTTCGCCAGTTTAACCTTGATAGTGGCCCTGGAGGGGGGTCTTATTACTACCATCCCTGTCGTGAGGAAGGAGCAGCATCTGATCACCTTGCCCGTGGCTGCATGAGGTGACTAGGCAGCATGTGAACTATGGGCTGTTCAGCTCCCGAATCCACACCCTCAGCTATGCTGCCATCCTAGAACCAGCCCATCAGTCTGGCAGAGGGAGCCCCTTCTAGCACAGTCGTTCCAAGTACAGAAGAACAGTTCATTCTTTCATTTCATTTCATTTCATTCAGAAAGACCCAGCTTAAATTTCACCTCAGCCACTGCCTAACACTTTGACCCTAGCTGACGTGTGATATGTCTCCGATTCTCGGCTTCCTCACAGTGGGGGATGAGGAAGAAATGAGATGTGTCTAAACAACTGGCACAGAGACTGAAAGAGTTAAGTTCAAAATGAGGAGCTGCTGATACTGTGACCAGGGCTGACGAACTGGCTGGTCAGGGAGGTGAAGGGACCCAAGGTGTGTGTGTGGAGGTGGGGGGGGGGGTCAGGAGGCTCCAAGGCTAAGGAAAGCAAAGTCTCAGGACCCAGCAGGCTTTGGACCCAGTTGTAACCATGAGATTTCAGGCTGTCCCAGACTCCGGGTCCATGCCAGGCACCAAGGAGATGGCAAAGGAAGAAACCAACAGAGAAAGTGATTCTGATCAAGATGGGACTGAGGGAAGAGCTGGTTTGCTGGTTTCCTAGGGCTTTTAAAGAAGTTGTTTATTTTTGATTTCTCTGGAAGCCCCAGGAGTCCAGGCTGATACCAAAGGGCAACATGACCAGCCATTCAGTTGCTGTAGGCACACAGGAGTGTCAGCCAGGAAATGGGATTGACTCGCTCCAGTACCTTTCCAGGCAGATTCTGGAAGCTTTTTAGGCAGTTGCACAGAACCAACCAGTCCAATTTCCCTCCACTGCAGAAAGAGAGCCCAAAGGGGAATGAATGTGTTCTGGGTCACAGAGAAGGTTCCTACTTGAGTTGACAATTCAAGATTTCTGGTTGCTGACAACTGAGTATCTCTTGTGGCCTGGATACCCCGTCTGCCAGGCCTGTGGGACACGACTGCTTCATCGTGACTCACTGTTACATCCCTCATGGCACAGTGGCTGATAGGCAAAGTGACAAAAGAGTAGGAGATGGAACAGCTGAATGTGGCGATGGAGTTAGGACTCTGCCCATTCCCAGGAAAGCTGGTAGATATTTAAAAAGAAGCGAAACTGATGCAACAGACCAAAGCTGGGATGAGAGCAGTGGGAGCTGAGGCAGATGTGAGAGCATTTCTATGCTCAAAGCTACCAGGGGCGGCCCCTCCTCAAACCCAGACTGGAGGGTCAGGCTGCCTGGGTTCAAATCTGGCCCCGCCACTTGCTGGTAGTCATCTGGGACAAGTAAACTGAGCTTCTCCATGTAAAACTGTACCTCCCTGAAGAGAGTTGAAAGAGTAAATGACTAAATGAGTGAATGCTGACAAGGGACTGAGCACAATGCCCAGCAAATACTATGTGTCGTCTGCTACCGTCACTTCATCTCTGGGCTCTCAATATCTGTAGTGCTCAAAGTTGGGAAGGGAGGCTGGAACAGGGAAAGAGCCTGGGAGTGGGGCTAGACAGTCTGGTTCCCTCGCTAATTAGCCATGAGGCCTTGTCAAGTTATCTAATTCCTCAGTGACGACAAGATCCCTGCCCTCATGGGACTGTTCTGAGGGGCAAGTAAGATTCAGTGAATTAAGGTAAATGGAAGGACAAGCGCACAGTGGGGCTCATAAAGGTTGACTAACCTGACCGTGGACCTCGCCAGTAGTGGAACTGAATGCCAAACCCTTTCGGCTACCAATCCTCCCTTCTCCCCGTGTGCTGGCCTTCCTGACTTAGTCTGGATCCCACAGCCGGCCATCTCATAGAATCTTGGGCAGCCTTTGGCATGCACCTGCAGTCTGGGATGGGCTGAAATCTCATGGGTGCAACTTGGTCCAAAGCCTGCTGAGTGCTGAGACTTTGCTTTCTGAAGCCTTGGAGCCTCCTGGCGCCCCCACCTTTGGGTCCCCTCACCCTCCTGGCCAGCCTGCTAGCCAGTTCACCAGCCCAGATCATAATGTTACCAGCTACTCATTGTGAACTCTGTTGGTCTCTGTGCCAGGTGCTTCTATGGGACCTGAGGCAGGTGGGCTGACCTCCATGACTAACCCTCTCTTTGTCTGCTGGGGAAACTGAGGCCTGCCAATGTGCTCATCAGCTCCTGGGAAAACTTAGCACTTTCCACCATTGTTACTAAGCTTCAGGCGAAGCCAATGGCTACCAGGCTGCAGAAGCTGGATAGAAACTCTCATAAAGAGAATGACTGGCTCTGCTACCCCTGCCTTGTAACTCTCCAGCTCAGGGCGCAGCTACTGTTCCTGAGGACAACTGTCCAGCCCTCAGTGCCTCCCCACCCCTCCTCTTGCAGTACATGTTTCAAGTTTCCTCACAACCTTTCACTGTGAGGTCCCTCCACCCTTCAAGGTTTCTCTGAGCCTCCTCTTACCCCTAACCCTTCCCTCTGTCTGTCTTTCCACTTCTCCAAGACCAATCCTGCACCCATGCTCTTGCTCCTTCCCCTTTCATTTTGAGACTTGTCCTTTTCCCACGTGGCCGCTGCCACAACTGACAGTGCTGCTCACCACCTCCTCGACACATGGCTCCATGGCTACCTGGCCCCTGCCCTCTCCTGGGATTGCCTCTTCCTGATGCTGCTCCATCTCTCTCTGCCCAGTGGCCAAGGGTAGATGTGGCCCATGGCTGTGGCCGCAGCTGCTACAAGTTTCACTTTTCCCACAGTGACCTCACCCAGGCTCAACTCTAATGAGCTCCAACCAATGGATGATACCAGATTTTCAGTCTGGAATCTGAAGCTCTCTCCTGAGCCCCGAGCTGACACTTTCTTTGGAACATCCCAGCGGCACCTCACACTCCGCCCATCTCTTCCTACCTTTTTGTTTTTTTTTTTTACAGTGCAGGTCTTTTATTTTCTTTACACTTCTCATGCCATGAATTCATAGGGAACTGGTTCTAACAGTTCAGGCTCCTTTCTATTGGTTCTCACGAAGTGGGCTTCTCTGGGTGGAGCAGGCTGGCGCTTCAGCTGAACCCAAGTACCTTTCTCTTTGGCTTCCTTCTTTTTCTGATCATTTTCCCTCACTCGTTTCAGGAAGCTATCTCGGCATTTAGAATGCTTAATATGCTCAACACACACATTAATTCTCTTGGCAAGAATCTTGCCCTTAACTTGTTTGTTTACAATAATGCCAACAGTATGCTGGGTAACACTGTAGACTCTTCCAGTTTTGCCATGGTAACGTTTGTGGGGCATTCCTTTTTGAACAGCACCAGTTCCCTTGATGTCTACAATATCACCTTTCTTATAGATTCACATGTACGTGGCCAAAGGAACAACCCCATGTTTCCTAAAAGGCCTAGAGAACGTGTAGCGGGTGCCCCTCCTCTTTCCCTTTGTATCGGTCATTTCGGCGAATTACTGGAAGATGGCGGTTCTGGCCGAAAGGCCCTACCCATGTTCTTTAGCCTTGGTTTCTTCCTGGTTGCACAGGCTTGGATTCTAAGTCCCCACTTCTTCTCAGCATCCCTTTCTCACCGAAGGCTCGGTACTTCCTCTCCAATGTCTTTATCCTCATCCATGAGGCCTTATCTCAGGTCCTCTTAACTCATAACCTACATAATGCAATTGTCTCCCAACTGGTTTCTGCCTTGAGTCTCTCTTCCCACTCATTAACCCTTTATGCTGTTAAGAACAGCACCCTTAAAAAAAAAGCACTCGTATCTTACTTGTGGTATGCAAAATGCCAATGATTTTTTCTAATTTTTTCTAATACTACAGAATAAAGTGAAAATATTCCAGCCTGGCAGGAAAGGATTCCCACAATCTGGCTCCATTCTATTTTCCAACCATAGTCCTGTCTATTCTCAAATTACCACCTCCACAACCTCCAAATCTTGCTACATCCATCCCTTCCCCCACACCTCTTACAATTTCCAGCCTCCATGTCCTTTTCCCCATATGCCCTTCTTCAAGTCTCCTACCTTCCTTCAAAGTGTAGTTAAAAATGCACCGCCCCCCACTCTGTTCCACTCCCTGAAGCCTTCCCTCACTGTGATTTACCATTATTTTTACATCCTTGTCATGATACTGCTTATAATTTATCCTCCATGCTTCCCAGTCCGAGAACTCCCCTCTACCTCACCAGACTGAATTCACAGAAGGCAGAGACTGGATTTTTCACGTCCATCCTCAAGTCCTCCGCATCTAACAACGTGCTTAATTTATGCTTAATCACAGTTCTTATTTTATGATTTGCAAAACTATTTTTTCTGTAACTCTGTCTCCTTCACTAGATCATAAGCTCCTTAAGGTGAACAACCATGTCTTGCCAATCTTGCTACAATCACTTAGCATCAAGCAGAGACTTTGCAAATAAAACAAAACAAAGACATCTATTGCATTAAATGGGCAACTGGAATGAGCTCAAACTTCAAACATTAAGTGTAGACAACTACTAATATTTTTTTAACCAAGGTTTCCTCATCTCAAGCCCAAATTACCCCCACATCCTTGTCAGCTCAGTGTAAGACTGCAGATGGCACAAGGTGAAGTGTACAGACAGGCATGAGGCATATACTCTTTCCAGAAGAACATGAATATGACAAATAGGCAGCAGGTCACTCTTCTGTCTGAGCAAATTCCAGTACTTGTGCTCCAGGAAGGAAACTCATCTAAGCACCTGAACTGAGTGAGGAGGCCTGCTGACAGAAGATCTCCACAGGCCACGAAGTTACCATCCTTTCTTGGCAGCCTGCTTCTGAATCCCAAAAAGTATCAGAGTCAAAAAGAACTCTGAGAGCTGGAGGGCCCCCACCTTTCTCTAGAGGGCTCCCCTCTTACAGAGTGTGATTTCACAGAACAGTTCCTTGAGCAAGAGTCCTGGAAAATAGAGAATGAAACTCTCTCTAATGCAAACAGGCCAAAGACCAATCTATAGAGTCAGGAGGGAGGAAAATTCAGGCATTCCAGGCTGCCTTTCTCAATTTCATAAAGTGGGCAGGGAAGGTTAGAAGGCTGCCTGCTGCTCTTCGGGTTCATTTCATTTCTTTAATAAACATGTATAGAGACACAGAACTTTCCAACTTCTAGCTGTGTAATCTTGGGCAGGTCCCTGGCCACTGAAGTATTTCCTCATTTATAGAACAAAGATAATGATCTTTGCTCCGCCTCCCTGATAGGGCAGGCTGATGAGAAAATACATTCAAAAGAGCTTTCTAAACTGAAAAGTCCTATGGGGATACTTTTATTCACATTATCTGCCAACCCTCTAATTTTCCAGAAGAGGAAACCCAAGCTCAGAAAGATCACATGGTAGCAGTCAGGATGGAACCCAGGTCTTCTGATTCTGAGTACCTACTGCAGGCCAGACTATTTACTAAGTGGTAACTGCAGGCACAAACCCTGCATCTTTAATGGACGATCTCTTTCTCCCCTCCAGCTTGTATGACGAAAAACTCCTGTGGAGACTTAGGTTAAAGAAAAAAAGGATTCCTGGGTAGAGTGAGGTGATGAGTAGTACAGATAACCTCACTATTCCCTCTGTGGTTTGGAAGCCTCAGTCCAGAGCCGCTTAGCAGCCTGGTGCTGTCCAGCTGTCCATATGACTGGCCACTGATGGACTCTCGGGGGCAGGGGAGAATGGGGGTGGCTGAGGTCAACGTCTCCAACAAGGCCAAAGCTTTGAATCCTGCAAGCGGGAGGAGGCTCCAGGAGGAAGTGAGGAGCCCGGTCTCAGGAGAGACAGTCCAAGGTGGTGTGTGGAGTGGGAAAAGGCAGGCTCTAGTTTGGGGATGGTGGTCCCTGGCACTCGTCTGGAGTCGTGCCAGGGAGTGAAGATATGGAGACGCTTTTTCAGGCCCTCCGAAAGTCAGAAGTCTTCTTTCCCTCTCTAAAACCCATTCTCTTCTTCAGAAGAGTTATGTTTATTTTCCTAAACTATAATATTGCCCAGGCCGGCAACCGGCCCTGGGCCACCGAATGGCCCCTTGGGAAAAGTAGTTCGATTTCGCTTCCATGTAAGTTTCCTTCGCACCGTGTGCCACCGCTTCTCATTCTTGGGGGGAACTCCAAATCTCAAGAGGTTTCCGCAAGCACCGGGAAAGCTGAAGTCGCTGTCGCCCCCGTCATCAGGTGTCCAGCATCCTGGAGAGGCTTGGAAGTCAAAAGACTACACCTCCCGGCGGCCACCACGCGTCTCAGTGCGCAGGCGTAGCCGCGCCTCGCCACCCCTCCCCCTCCTCCAACTGCTCCCGTCGGTCCGTTCCCGTATTCCCCCTATCAGTTCTAATGTCCCCTCCGTGTCTCCGGCGCCTCATACTCACCGCGAACTCGCGGCGTCGGGTAGAGCCGCTGCGCCTTCTCTAGGAAGCGGAGCGCCCGGTCGGGCTGGTTGCTCTGGATGGCCTTGAGAGCGATGCTAATACAGCGCTCGGCTTCATCCTTGTTGGATTCCATGGCGGAACCAGAGCGCGGAACCAGGGAGGGGGAGGCCGGGCGAGCGAAGGGCTGCGCCAGCCGCCGGCGCGTCGCGGGGCAGGCGGGCGCAGGATGATGACATAAACCCTTCGCCCCTCCTTTTCCGAGATTTGAGCGAGATTTGAGCGAGGGCGGAAGCGCTACCGTATGTCTTCTAAGAGGGGGAAGTCAGGACGTCTAAGGCGTTAAGGGTGCATACCCACATTCCTGGAGCCTACGGGGTCCTTTTCGGAGGTCTTAAAGTTTCGTATGCTTGCACGTTCTTGGTAGTAACTCTATGCGTTTGAGACGAAGGTCGCTTATTTCTTCATTCAACAGATATTTATTGAGTACCCACTATTTGCCAGTCTAGGTAGTCTTGAACAAAACCAAACCCATGCCAACTTACATTCGAGTGTGTGTAGTGGGGTGGGGAGACATCCAATACAGAGATACAGTAAAATAGTGATAAGTTTTATGAAGAGAAAAAGAAAAAGAGAAGATAAATAAAGGGATTGATTGAGAGAGGATGGTGCTATTTTAAATAGCCTGATGACTTCAATAGAAATCTGAATTCAGGGGAGAGAGATAGCGAGAGCGCGCGCGCGGCGAGTGACCGTGCAGGTATTCCAGATGTGACAATCTAGAAGAAAGGTGGTCCAGGCAGAAGGATAAGCAAATACAAAGGCTTTGAGAGGGGAATTTTTTTGGTGAGTTATTACGGAATCAACAAGGAGCATGTAGGACTCCACTTTATGGCTCTGTCAGGCTTTTCATGCCTACCAATCAATCCAGTGAAAGCAATCTTACCAACGTTATCAATGACCCACTTTGGCAAATCCATCATTTCTCAGTCCTTATATTACTTGGTCTCCACAGCGAGATTTGGTAAGAGGTTCCTACAGGTTAGGAGGTTATTACTATAATCCGGGTGAGAATGAATAGTAACTTGGATAAAGGTGATGGTGGAGGTGTTAGAAATAGTCAAATTCTGGATATATTTCGAAGACACAATCAAAATTATTTTGGATTGAATGAATGATGGGTTGAATGTGGGATATGAGAGAAAGGAGGTGAGATGATTCTAAGATTTTGCCACGAGTAAGTGGACAGTTTTCATTTACAGAAATTGGGGGAAGATTGTGGGAGGAGCAGTTTGGTAGAGGGACTATTAAATGTTTGATTTAGGGTGTGTTAAGTTTGTGATGCCTTCTAGAGTCAAGGGGAGATGTAGATTTGGAATTTGTATATAAGTAAAGTTTAGAGAAGAAGATGGGGCTGGAAATATAATTTTGGAAATTATCAGTATATATAAATGACATTTAAAGCTTTGAGACTAGGTGGACAAAGAAATACGGTATTTAAAGCTATGGGACTACATGCACCAAGAAAGTGAGTGTAGATGGGGAACAGTAGGAGTCTGGTTACTGAGCCCTCTGCCACTCTTGTATTTAGAGGTCTGGAAGAGGAGCAGCTGTCCAGGAAGGGAGAATGAAGAAGCAGTCATGAAGTAAGAAAATTACTTTCACTTAACAGATGTTTCAAGAGGGAAGGGGCCAAACTTCGGCAAATCCCATGTCGAGGCCAAGCAATATGAGGACTGAGAAATGACCAAGGAATTTTACAAGGTGGAGGTCAGCGGTGACCTTGACAAGATTGTTTTCAGTGGGTAATAGAGGTGAAAGCCTGATGGGAATGGATTTAAGAGTGTGAGTGAGGATGAAATGGATTAATAATAGTGGAGAGGAATGTGGGGAAGTTTTGTTTTTAAGATGGGATATATTATAGCATTCTGTGATAGGAATTATTTAATTGGGCAGGAAATTGTGGTAATGAAGGAAAGAGAGGAGACAGAGGAGGTGGGATCTGGGGCACAGGGGAGGGCATGGCTTTAGATAGCTGCCTGGACAAGTCACTGATTTTCAGGAGGGATGGCAGAGTGTTCAGGTATGCTGTGGGCTGGCTGGTAGATCTGGAAGTGAGAACACGAGGAAGTTCTTTTTCAGATTGCTCTTATGGTCTCAGTGTAGTAAGAAGCAAGGTCATGGCCTCTTTGGCTACATGGTCACCCTTGGAAATTTCTTCACCTCCAACCTTCCTTTCCATGACCATATCCTTCCCAATGCAAACTCTTATGACTCCAAGCTGGAGAGAGTATCCTGGTGGTGAAGAAATCAGCCCCTTCTTAATAAGACAACTCTACGCTGAGAGAAAGTTAAGGTCTCCACTAATTGATAGGTCTTTCATTTGTCTTAAAGGATAAACCCTGGAACACCTTTCAAATAGCCTCTCTGAAGTTTGTTGACCTCGGGCTGGTAGGGAGTCCCCTCTCCTGCTAAGCATCATGAGGTGTCCTCTTCCATATCCTGAGTGTCATGAGGCCCCGCTTCTCTGGCTGACCACAGGTACTTCCCTTTGTGAAGAGGGTACTCGTGGAAAAGAAGACCCGTCATTTGTTGTGTTCAGGAACCAGACTGTAATTGCCCAGCTACTGGATGGTAAGCCCTCCTCTGCTTTCCTACAATGTATACAACAGACAAAAATCTTACTTAAATTTTGAGTCCATTGTCAGTAATTTGGTTTGGTTGCTGGAGTCTGGAGAAGGATCTGGAGAGGCGGGTGGACTAGGTGTATGGTATGACCTCTTCAGACATCATTTTGGAATTTCCCTTTCCTCACTTCTGCTGCTGAGCTCTGGCCTGGAACTGCTTCAATTCAGAAAGGATTTGTTATTTCAGAAGGGATTATAAATTGAGCCTGAATGCTGGTCTAACCAGCCTCCATTATCACTATCTCCCTTTCTAATAGATCTTGAACTGGGTGTCTTGTTTTTTGTCCCGAGGCCATTTGACTTTCTGTGGGTCCTTCTCAGTCCAAAGGCCAGGAAGAGAGCCACATTCCTGCTCAGTTCATGTTAAACCTGACAGCCCCTGGTCTATAGATGTTGTTTAAAAACCAAACTGGTATGCCAGGGATGACCTGAAGTTACAGTTTCTCCTTCATAGTTCTTGAAATCAAGTTGTCAAGATTCTGATCTAAGGAAAAAATTAGAAACTTCTATCCTGACTAGCTGGAATCATGGTATCAGTGGGAGGATGCAGCCTAAAAAAAGAGACAAAATCCTTTCTTGTCTCAATGGATATCGAGAAGTCACTGGGAAAATGAACCTAAGCATCTCCTCATTTTGCTCCTAGAACTGAAACAACCCTTACATTAGGTCACCACCAGCCTTCAGTTCCTCTCCTCCAGGGACACCAAGAATTCAGTCTGACCTTAACATGCTTTAATCTCCTCTTGTCCCCTCCCCATCTCTACTATGATACATTTAACCCCATCCCTGTCCACCTGCCTGTTCTCCTTAATTATCCTTTCCACCGTCCAAGTCTAACTCCTTCTTCAGGGCTCAGCTTAAACTCATATCTTCTCTGTGAAGAGATGGAATTAATTTAATAGTCAGATGTCCATACTGAAAGCCAGGCACTGTGCAGAGCTTTAGGGATTCAGAGATGCACTATGAATAAAGGACAGAACCTGACATCAGGGAGCTTGCGATCTAGTAAGGGAGACAGATTTTAAAAGAATTAAGAGTATTATGCTGTACACCAGAAACTGTCACAACATTGTAAACCGACTAAACTTCAATTAAAAAGAAAAAAAGAATTAGAAGACAGTGTGGTAAGTACAACAGGGGGGCTGTGTGTGAGCTCAAAGAGGCTCAGAAGAGGGAGCTGTTACTTGTGTGTATAGACCTGGAAAGGCTTCCTGGGGGAGGTGACATCTGAGGCTGGGTCTGAGGCTGGAAAGGGTCTTCTCCTCCAGGAGCTCTCTCTGCTCTGAACTCCCATAGCACTTAAGCCTGGTCCCTCCATGGACACACACCCTCACTGCCCTGCACAGATGGTGCCCTGCAGTTGTGAGTCTGTTTACATCCCGTCTCCAGCTAAACCAAGATGAGATCTTGCCCTCAGTCTCCCCATGGTCTGAGCACGAGGCCTGATACCGAATAGGGGCTCACTTCCTATTTGTTAAATGAATAGAATAAGTGAATCCCAGAGACAGTTTTTTCTCTTCCCAAACACTTGCTTCAGTTTCCCTGAGCTGGCTAAGGGGATACATTCCTTCCTAAGACTTCAGGAACATTTGCCAAGTCAGTGGAATGACCCCCACTTCCTGTCCTTTGCTCTTTTGCTCTCTGACTCCCTGCTGCCTCCAAATGTGACCCTCCAGGGCCCTCCCTTTCAAAGAGCTCCAGGCTCCAAAATCTCTCTCTGAAGAAACCACCCTTCTTGATTAAACTACAACATATGATGGAATGCAGCTGTGGGAATGGTTGGTAATGAGGTTTTTCAATGTATGCCTCTTTTATATAAGTTTGATTTTTGGAAACATGTGAACATTTACTGAATAAAAAAAGAGAAAACCTAAACCTGACATTGAAGATGATGAAAATTCACCAAGAGTGTTAATAACTGGTAAGTAACTGAATTTTCAATTTGAGCTTCAATAAATTTGTTGAACGAACACATGAAGATTTCCCCATAGCATCTCCAAAGTTCTACTTCAGGCTTTGCTCTTTCTCCTTAGAGGAGGAGGAGGAGTCCTCCACACCTAGGGAGGGCCAGAGGCTGGAGGCTGGAAAGGTAAGGGCAAGGACACTTGGAAGCCCTTTCTACCAAACTTGTCTGTTTCAGGGATATCCTAAGTACAGTTTCTTTGATTCAAACTCCTTTCATGTCAGTGGTCTCTATTCCCAGCTTCTCTTGGGGAAGAGAAGGAGCTGGTATTAGGACACTGATTTAGACTTCATGTGTCCATGGTTATTTGGCCTTGAAATTGGGAGAGCCCAGGTTTTTAGGACATTCCCCAGACCCCTTTCCTGGGTCCAGACTCAGATCTACCTACCTACAAGATACCCCTACTGGGATGTCTCTCAGGCACCACACCATGTCAAAGAAATCGCTCCATCATTCTCCACCCAAACCTGGTTCTCTCAGCCTCCCAATCCCCCTGCAGAGCACTGCCATACACCCAGGTGCCCAACAAATCTGGGTTTCAGGCTGAATTATTCACTCTCCTCTATTATCCTCCAGTTTATATATTCCCATCCTTTCCCCTCAGGCCTGATTTTAGCATCTTCCAAATCTGTTAGCAACTCTCCAACTCTGCAGTCACTCCCCTAATCCAGGCTTCCAAAATCTGTTAACTGGATTATTGTGGCAGTCTCCAACCTGGATCCCACTCTAATCCATCTGTAGCATTGCAGGCAAGTTATC